TCTTGAAGAGGGTCTTTCGCTGTCTGTATCGTCCATGTATATGTATATGTTCTCCTCGTTTTCGGAGTCCGACATTTGTGCGTGTGTGTGTGTGTGTATGTGTGTGTGTGCGTGTGTGTGTGGGTGGGTGGGTGTGTAAGTGTTAGTCGTGTGGGGATGCCCCCTTACGGGGGCGTACGTGTCTTTTGGTGTATTTGTCTGTCTGGTATATTGTTTGTCGGGGGTCGCAATTTTAAAGAAATGTATTTTAAAGTAATGCAAATAACTGATAAATAAGTAAAAACTTACCTGGGCATAACCCCGGGACAGGTGCCTGCAACAAAGATGCCGACGGCCTCTATGCTTAGCCGGGGATTAGGTCGGTGATTAAAAGGAAAGAAAGGGATTCTTTACAGGTAGCCTTAATAAAGGCAGGTAGATTTTGCTCGTTGCAATCACTTCACCTCACAAACAAACACGTCCGCTCAGCTCGGCTGTTCGCACTGGAATGAGACTCACACTAGTGACGGCTGCTGGCTGCAGAAAAATTGATGGACATCTCATAGATAAGGACATCTGACTTCTCCTCTTCTTCTTCATTCTTGTAGCCATTGAACCATGGGGTATTTGAATTTTTGATCTACTGTGTATGTTACACTATTTCCACAGCATAAAAATTTAATCTGATTTTTAAAAGTACAATATCAAAAGTACAACTGATCATATTAGCCCTATTTGCACATGAAAAATGAACAGTAAGTGCCGTTTTCTTTTACTCACGATTTTGGAATCATAACGCGTTACGATCCGAAGGAAACCAATCAGATTTCCTTCGGATCGTAACACGTTATGATTCCGAAATCATGAGAACGGGCTATGTAGTTTGAGCGGTCCAAAAAAACCGGGAAATTTAACTTGCAGAGCGGTGATCGCAACTTACATTGTTTTTCTTTCAATAATACGTAAGTCGGCGAAAGACTTAAAACATGAAACCTGGTATCTCTGGACCTGGTCCATTGCATTAACTAACCAAAGATAGAATACCACAATTGTGACCATCTCCTTTACAGAAACAACACATTGTAGACAACTATAGGCACCAAAAGAATATGTCAAGTAACTCTATAAACACAAATGAAATAAAAACTGTACTCTCATAACGTTAAATTTTAAATTAATATATAAGTTTGCAAATATTAAAAACAATAATGATGCAGAAAATTATGTTAAAGAAGTAGCATAACAATTGCATTATAACAAAATAATTTTTTTTTTTTTTGATCTCATTTATTTTTTCTAAATATATTTATTTATATGTGAAAGAAAGTCAAGATTTTTTTGCAGTTTTATTAAATAGAACAGAAACATCTTAAAGTAAATTCTTCACGTACTCATTGTCTTGTACACTCGAAATAATAAAACAATATGGCAGAGGTGTAGTAAGGTACTAGAAAATACCGTACTGGGATAGACATTCCAACAGTACTCGATAAGTCCTAGCAGCAAAAACATGTATGGTTTACTGTACCCCGTACAGAAAACTAAATAAACTAAACTATGAAAATACCAACTATAGAATTGGTAGTGCAGAGAACGTGCACAAGTCATACCTATCAAGTTTGTCACGAAAAACGGCAGCACAAAAAGCTGTGTTATCTTTGAAAGGTTATCCTCCAATTTGAATTGTTCTTCACTACTTTCTCTCTGTCCGCCACTGCCTTGGAGTTGCTTCTCAAAAGAGTCCAAAAACTGCTGTTGATCTTTACTCAGCTTTTCAGCCTCCTTCCTCTTCTTCTTTTTATCGTTTTCCAAATGAATCTTCAGTTCGTCAGTAACTATGCTCAATTTAGCGTAACTTCTCAGATATTTCAGCATGTAGGGCAGGAACAATATAAGTAAAAGCATATGCAGAAAAAGAAGAAAGATGTGGAAGAAAGGATTCTCGAAATATTCTCTAGGTAGAAACCTGTAATTCACCGTCCATTTATGTTCAAAGACCCTGCCAAAATTGAAGCTACCTTTAATGTATGAAATAAAATTGCCATATAAAAAGGGAAGGCCTAGAATTAACTGCACAACACCACAAATAAATAAATGGATAATCGTCTCAAATAACGACATATTCGTAAGATATGCTAAAAGAAGGCAAGGCGCGTAAAGTAAAATATTCATCTTAACAGAAACTGCTAAGGAGTAAAAAATGCTTCCAAGTATCCATTTGTTGGAAATAAATAAGTTCAAGCTGGCATAAAACAACAATACAGCGATGGGATCATTAAAAAGACGTAGTACAAATATCGAATGTATTCGGTAGGAAGTTAAAGTTGCAATGATAAGAGCATAGGGGGGCAGTTTCAAAGTCTTCTTGAATATTCTTTGCACAAGCAACGTTTGTATTAAGTACAACACTAAAAATATGTATTGCGCAAGGTAAATGTTTTCGCCATGGGATGTTACGTAGTAAAAAATGGTGTAGATGTAGACGAAACCGGCAGGATATACCAAAGGTCCAGTATCACCTGGGAAGAAAATAGTTAATACTGGAACTTTGAAATGTTTGTTACTTACCTCTCAATTCCTTATAATCTAATGTTCCATTTAAAAAGCCCTCAACTTCTTGCATGTAAGCGTTCCAGTCGATTTCGGTGTACTTAACTCTTTCAATTATGAACACATTTAGAATCATCTCAAATACAATTAACAAAATACACACTGGAGTTAAGTAATGAGGATCAAATAAGAGTTTCTTTAAAAATTCTACCGTGAAATATTTCTTTAAGTACACAGCCCTTCCTGGGCTTTTTGTCCCACTTTGGGGTCGTTTATTTTTAGGTGGAGCCATTTATGTATCCATTAATCAAAGAACCATATCTTGTTGGCTTAGAAATTATAATATTATTATCTAAAGGCGTGCCTCTACCTTTATTTCAACGATTGGCACATCATGGTAGACCTACTTCACAATCCTAGATAAAACCAAACTGCTACACAATCACAACTTACTATCTTAATTCTTAATTTACTTTAGCACTTTTAAGTTTTAAGTTAGGTTATTTTTAAGCTGTGTTTTTAATAGTGATGGGCATAATCGACCAATTTTGATAATCGAGTTATCGGTAATCGAGTACTTCTAATAATCGAGTGATCACTCGAGATACGAGATATTGGTCGTTTTCATCCCAGCGGCGCAGAAATATGTTTGTATTAGTCATATATCACTTATAAGCGTAGCTAAAAAAAAAAAAAAAAGCTCACGCACTTCAAAACTAACCACTTTTTCGTTTTATTCTAAAAAAAAGGTTACGCAATCAGTGACTATTTGCAGTATGCACTAACATTTTGGGGTGCAACCGTAGGGTAATAATCACTCGAGTGGTGGAAGTAAACATCTCGAGATATCTCGAGTGATCTCAATAATCGAGTACCACTCGATTTTTCACTCGAAATCTCCCATCACTAGTTTTTAAGCTTAGGAAGAAGCAGCAAGCAACGTTGCCATTACACACCAAATAAATGTAAATTTGAAGAAAATAGCTGATTTAAAAAAAAATTAAAGTAGATTTTTTCCCAAACTAGTTACACTAAATTTTTGGTTTAGTTCGTAAATACTGTTTTGGTTTTTTCAGAACCGATTTTTAATAAGATAAATCTTACAGTTCTTGCATAAGAGCATATCTTGATTGTCGACTGTCGTTACTGAATGACGTTAAGAGAAGAAGAAGAAGGAGAACGAAAGTTATCTATCGAAAAAATTAATTTAAGGTTAAAGCTGTGGTTAAAGTTAAACTGATTTCTTCAAATTTCTTCACACTTCTCACGGTTACAAGAAAAATGTATAATAATGTTTAAGTATGTCTACCAAAAAACAAATAAATGTCACAATTCAATCTTGTAGTTTTCAGTTACTATCTACTTCAGTACAGGAACTTTAAAATTATAACGAAATGGCAAATATATCTTTGAAAGGTATTGATCTAATGTCACTGTATCTTTTCTTTAATAATATGTATCCGCATTTTAGATCATGCTAGTGAAATGTTTGGCCCCCTCACCTTTCAGTACAGCCACACTTTGGAAAGTGCAAAAACAAGATGTTTGCTATGTGAAGAAGTTTTCGACCTGGGCTTATCGGTAAGATCATTTTTGAAACATATTTTTGAGGCCCACAATATAGTTATCGATGACGTACAGAACATTGAAAAACTGCCCGAGTAAGTTGAGAAGACAAAACTGTCAACTACAATTATATATAAACTATTTTTAGATATATTTCTTACTGGAGAGATAGATTTCGTACGACACCATTAGAAGCGATAATCCCTTCACTTAACATGGACTGTACCGGTTACAAATACTTCCTGTTATCTGCTTTGTTAAAGGAAGACAAAAAATTACGACATAAGCTTAAACTAGAGCATGTGTTGAATGTGCAGGAATTTGAAAGGAACGATAAACATTTCATAAAACCATGCCTATTTTGTCGATTGGAATTTGAAGGTATAAGTAACGGTTTATTAGGCTTTCGGCACATTAAATTTGTTGATTTTAAGGAACGAGGCATGGTTATTTGGAACATATATCAATGGTACATAATATTCTTTTGGGCAACCCACAGAACTTGGTTTATATAGAAGAATTAGTGGAAAAACTTGATAAGCAAATGAAGGACTTGAAGTGCATTTACTGCGAAAAGACATTCCCTGACCGAACCATCTTGAAAGAGCACATGCGGAAGAAATTGCACAAGCGAATAAATCCTAGTACTACGGATTATGACAAGTATTATATTGTCAATTATTTGGAACCAGACAAAACTTGGAGAGATATCGAGAAAGAAGACGATAGATATGCTGTTCCTGCAGGTAAACAACTTTGAAGTATTCTTCAGTTTCTTGACTTTTATATTTTAGGTGTTGAACCAAATGCCGACGAAGAATACTCAGACTGGTGCGAACAAGACGATTTTATCACTTGCCTTTTTTGTCAAGTGAAAGACAGGAATATATATGTGCTTTGTATACATATGGACGGCGATCACGACTTTGATTTTTTAGAGCAGACTGAAAATTTGGATTTTTATCAGAAAATTAAACTCGTAAACTACATCCGTAAACAGGTGCACAACAATAAGTGCGTTTTCTGCGATTTACCCTGTGGGGATTCTAAGAGTTTGCAAAAACATTTTTTAGAGGAAAAGCACTGTAGGGTTCCAGACTTGAAGGTTTTCGATCAACCAGAGTAAGTCTACAAAATAGATATCTAAGATCGGTATAAAATTAAGTGTCGATTTTGTTTTTAGATTTTTTTTTCCCACATACGAGAACGATGCTTTTCTATATTACGTAGAGGATCTTGAAACATTTTAAGAGGCCTGTACAAACGATATGAAAATAAAGTGTTTTCATACAGCTCTTGATTTATTTAGAAAGTTTTTAAAATATTCACATAGAATGCAAATATTAAGTGACATTTATGTTTTCTAATTTATTTTATCACATAATCAGGGCCCCCGTAAGGGCTACTGGCGCCTGTGTGCAAAAAAGGATTTTGGCGCCCCTTAAGGCATTTTGGATCATGTTTTTTTATTTATTTTTTTGAAGGTAGGTGCTTGAAATAAAGCAAAAAACTGAACTTTAGAAGTCATATTTATTTGTAGACTAAAATATCAAAATGAAACAAACATAATAAAATAATAACAAAATAAATTCTTGTTCACACCCATTTTAAAGCATTTACTTAACTAATGGGGTACAGACTTTTTTAATAGAACACCCTGTACTTTATGCGCTAAAATGAAAGAACTTTTTCCTCTGATTTCAAAAATATATACGGTGATGACATTTAGGCGAGCCATTTTTGAGGAATTTTAAGTTAAATAAATATAAATAAACTGCAAATAGGTTTCATAAAGATATCAAGAATTCAAGAAAGCCATGGAAACAAAAAAAACCGCTGCAAATTGAATCGATACTTCCACATCACTTTTACTCGTTAACTTTCTTAAAGGGACAGGTTACTTGATTAAATGAAGTTATATCAAAAAACTAATGGTAAAATTGGGTTCCTTGACCCCAAAAACCTAGAAAACGATATACATCATATTTTAATTTNCTGCAAATTGAATCGATACTTCCACATCACTTTTACTCGTTAACTTTCTTAAAGGGACAGGTTACTTGATTAAATGAAGTTATATCAAAAAACTAATGGTAAAATTGGGTTCCTTGACCCCAAAAACCTAGAAAACGATATACATCATATTTTAATTTTAACCCCCTTTCCCTTCATCTAGAGGGGGAGGGGGTAAAATTTTAAATAATTTATTTTAGGAAATAAAAGACTTACTTTTCTACTTTTATACAGGGTGTCCCGTAAAGTATTTTACAAACTTTGGGTGGTGATAGTACATTAAAAAATATGACTAAAATCTCTAATAATCATAACCTCTTAAACGCACCATTTTGAAGTTACAGACCTTCAAAGGTGCAACTATAAAAGTAGTTTTTATGACGTAACTCTTTGTTGGAAAAAGAAAACTTAATGAAATTTTCAGGGGCTAATCAGCTTTAGGAAATCAATAAATAATGCGGATATGAATAAAATCGAGAAAGCAGAAGGGTGTTTTTTTATCACCCTGTATCCTATTTTTTGCTAAAAAAAATTTTTCTGCAAAGGTACAGCAAGTATCATAAGATTTTTAGAAAGACCATTAAATTTAGAAATTTTTTTGTCTCTTGTGTTTTTTATGTAAAATGTTTAGTTTTCTAGTAAATTTACAAAATGCAGAGAGATGAGTGCTTCCGAATTATTTACATACATTTCTTAAGCCTAGTGAATTTTTAAGAATACAATCAATTTCCAAAATAATTTTTTTAATTAAGTAACCAAAACAGAACTAAAACAAAATATGTTATTATAATAAATGTTGAAATTGACCTCCTTCTGCATCGATACATGCTGTCAGTCTCTTTATAAAGTTAAATCTGACTCTTTGGAATATGAATAGACTATTTCTTATTAAATTAAAGGTTTCTACAATTCGCAGTCTAAGTTGATCTTCTGTATCAACAGGGGTTGCATAAACTTGAGATTTCGCGTGTCCCCAAAGATAAAAATCGACAGGATTCAAGTCCGGTGATCGCGGTGGCCAGGCTATTGGTGCATTATATCCTCTTCCAATCCATCGATTAGGAAACCGCATATGTAGATACTCTCTAACATGAACACTGAAATGCGCAGGTGCCCCGTCATGGAGGTACCACATGTATTGTCTCAAATTTAAAGGAACATTTTCCATTAACTCAGGGAGATGGTTTTCTAGGAAGTTTAAATATTCTACTGCATCAAGCCTTTGAGGTAGAAAGAAAGGCCCGAGCAAATAGTCACCTATTATTCCAGCCCATACGTTGACTGAGAATCGGTGTTGGTGATGACTATCAATGGTAGCATGAGGATTTTCGTCTGACCATGCATGTGCATTGTGCAAGTTCAGTAAACCATCTCGTGTAAAGGTGGCTTCATCGGTAAATAAAATGGAGCTAATAAATTCCACATTATGTTGGTGATGGTTAAGTATTATTCGGCAGAATTCTAGGCGTCGGGGAAGATCTTCAGGCATTAAATGTTGCACTTTTTGGAGATGGTAGGCATAAAGGCCGTTTTCCTTCAAAACACGCCAAACTGACATTCTGGAAAGCTGTAACTGATTAGCTGCCCTTCGCACACTTTCTCCCGGATTTTGTTCAAAAGATCTCAAAATTTGTTCATCTTGCGCGGGTAGTCTTCTAGCAATTCTACCACAATGTATGTAACGGGGTACCACACTACCAGTTTCAATAATCCGTCTGTGAATCCGAGTAAATAATTGTGTAGACGGCTGACGTCTCTGCGGATAACGTTCTATGTATGTTCTTCGAGCAGCTGTTGCATTTCCATTACATAATCCATAAATAAAATGCATTTCGGCATATTCTTGATTAGTAAAACGATTGTTATCCGCCATTGTACTCACAAATTAATAATTCGTCAACAGACACGATTAAAATATGGTAACAAATGTCAACTATGTTAAAAGTGACAGGCGCCTACTTTTTGAATACGTCAAATTTAACACCTAGCGGTGAGTAAACTCCCTTTGCATTTTGTAAATTTATTAGAAAACTAATCATTTTACATAAAAAATGCAAGAGACAAAAAAATTTCTAAATTCAATGGTCTTTCTAAAAATCTTATGATATTTGCTGTATCTTTGCAGAAAAATTTTTTTTGGCAAAAAATAGGATACAGGGTGATAAAAAAACACCCTTCCGCTTTCTCAATTTTATTAATATCCACATTATTTATTGGCTTCCTAAAGCTGACTAGTCCCTGAAAATTTCATTATGTTTTCTTTTTCCAACAAAGAGTTACGTCACAAAAACTACTTTTGTAGTTGCACCTTTTAAGGCCTATAACTTCAAAATGGTGCGTTTAAGAGGTTATGTTTATTAGAGTTTTTAGTCATATTTTTTTATGTACTATCACCACCCAAAGTTTGTAACATACTTTACGGGACACCCTGTATATTAATAATAACTAATTACGTTTTATTTTGCCCCCACTCCCCTCCCACCCATTACCCCCATTTTTTCTAATTTTAGACAAATATAAAATAAAACAAAATTAACATCTTGATACTCAAAAACCCTTAAAATGATATATTTTTCCATTTTTTTTTCAAACATTTCGAATTTTCCCCCTCCCTTTTTTACCCGCACCCTATTTTTTTACAAAAATCTCAAATAGATTGTAAAACTGAAATCTACAAAAACCCATAAAACGACATATTACTCGACTTTTTACGAAAAAATGCCATTTTTTGACAAACTTACCAAACTTTTTGGTAAACTGTCGTTTACCCCCCGTTTCTCCCCCTTCCCCTGAACCGATTTTGCTCAAAAACAATCCGAACCGTTCCCGTGTGCCAAATTTGAAGTCAATACAATATCTTAATTCCTTCGAAAGTTATCGCGGGAACTAACAGACATACAGACATAGACAGAAATTTTTTTTCGCTAAAATTGTATTTTTTGCGCGTTTTGGAACATTTTAGGACCATTAAGCCAAAAAAAAATTTTTGAAATTTTTTTACCGATACTATACTTCCCCATCACTTCGTGATGTGGAAGTAATTGTTATTTGTTATGTTTTATGAATTTGATATCAAGATACTCGTTTGCTATTTGGACTATTGAAAATAAATTATGTTTCTTCTAATTGTTTCTATGGCAATTTATTTAAGCTAATATAATATAACTTAAAAACAGCTCACCCAAATGATATCAACATATATATTTTCCAAATCAGAGAAAAAAGGGCTTTCATTTTAGCGCATAATATACAGGGTGTTTTATTAAAAAAAGTGGACGCTGCCTATACTTTTTCATTTTCGATGCGATTTTGTTTTTATCTGATAACTTCAAAAGATAATATAGGAAAAAACCTACAACTTCTGCTTAAAAACATTTTTTTTCTATCTGACATAATAAAGGCTCTAGGAAGCACGTAAATATAGTCAAAGACACAGGGTCTTTCACATGACATTTCAATTAATAAAAAGATATTTGGGTGAAAAATAATAATTATAACCAGTATCCTATAAAGGGTTAATGTTGATAGTATAAAGTAAAATAGGGAACATTTTATAAAAAATCAAACCGTTGAAATTGCAGTCAGCAGGTATTCAGCACTTAATTTTTTAGAAAAAAAAGTAGTAAACAAAATATTATACAACACAACACTTGACAAAATAAAAATAATTTTAAATGTAAAAATTAAGAGGATTACTTGTTTTTATGCACTTGTTGCACGGTCCAGTGAACTAACCGGTTTAAAAACGCCTCTGGCGATGCATCGCTTTTATAGCGCTCCGGGCATTGTTCATGTCTGAACAGGAAAAATCAAGAAACTACCGCCTGACATGTTCTCGCAACATAGGAATCGGCAGTAACTGGATGATTTACTAATAAAATTTCGTGTGTATTTATACCTAATCCTATTTAATTTCTCAACTTTTATTTTAAAATTAATTTTTGTTTTTTGGTTTTTTTGGAAATTTTTGCAATTTTTGACCCTGGGTTTTGGCGCCCCTAAAGGATGGCGCCCGTGTGCATTGCACACTTTGCACATATGGTAGCAGGGGCCCTGCACATAATTATGGCTATTATTCAGGCGGACTAAACAGAGCGGACTAAACAGAGCCCAAGTCGTAAAAAATCTCCTATGTGTAAAATATCATTTTTTACTGGAGGGAGAAAAAACATTTTCCTATTGTTTTTCATTTAAAACTGTAAGGAACTGGCAAAGAACTAACATAATAACAAAAAGCTCCTGGTGAATAAAAATTATGTTATTGCAACTAATCGTTAACCCGAAATTATCAAAAAATGTGACATTTTATTACATAGGAGATTTTAATCGTCGCAAATTAGCACATAGGAGTAATTCTTAATAGTTGTGTAAACATATAGGAGCATTTTTCTAACATTTTTTGGTGTTTTCATTTAAATATAAATTGTATGTGGTACATCATACTAACCAATGAAAAACATCTTATGTGGTTTATAATATTCATTTAAAATCTCTTATGTGGAGATATCAAGTTGAAATAGTACAGAGCTATAAGCTATAATTCTTCTATGTAGATATGTATATTTACATAGAAGCTATTCGGAGATGAATTTAATTCTTTTGCACAGGTTTATAAAAACACGGTTTTATGAAAGAATGATTATGATTAGTAAATATGAGGATTTATTAAATTATAAAAGGAATAAAAGCAACTAATTGCATATACAAACTAAAAACCGGTCTAAACGCCAAATAGGAGGTTTTTCGCGCTCAACGACGATAGTCTTTCACTGCTGCGCAACGGTAACCATGACCACCACTGTTAACACCTTTAGGGGCGAGCTAGAAGAGCCCACGTGTTCAGTGTTTTTCAAATGAATTTTTGCAAGTCGAGTTAAATCGACTGCACGTTACAAATTTAACATTTCCTTTTTATTGTGTTTCATAAAGCTGATCTATTTAATTATCTAAATAGCATTGCAAATTAAATTTTAAATTAATTTTTTTACTATAACAGTTCCCAGGACCGGCGACGTTCCAGAGACCCCCGCCCCGCAGATAAATTATTAACTTAGAGGCGTTACACGATTAGTAAAAGCTTCTAACATTTATTTTTATAATAAAACGTTTAACGTGAGAATAAAATATTGTCGAAAAAAGGAGAGTATATACAATAGTTACTAAAGCTGTCTAGATTTTAAAGTCTACATGTAAATAGGACTATTACGGACATTCTGAAAAATGATAAAATGGTTAAGATATTTGAAAATTTTCAATCATAGGTGTAATAGAACCAGTTGCTCGAAGCTATTAGATTTGGGTATTTGGTAAAAAAAAAGTTTAAATGAGAAAACGAGCTTTTACACAATATTTTTTTTTTATTTATAACATTCTTATTCTTGAAAATTGATGATAGAATAATTGTTTTTAATTTATTTAGAATTTTTTAGGGTATTTTAAATCAAATTCTTTTAGTATTTGTTTATTTTAGATTCTGAATAACATTTTGATAATAAATATGAAGTAGACATTGTTACTTTTAAACAACATTTAAGAATTACAAGATATTTATTTTTTATGCGTTAATTTTAAAAATAATCAATTTCTATTAATGTGCATAGCTGTATAATGAGTTAGGTGCATTTATTTTCTATGAAATATGTTCAAGCTGCCCATTAGTCTTTAAATATGGATTCTAATGGTTTGCAGGAACATTTTTAAGAGGAAAAACACTAGGGCTCCAGATTTGAAGGTTTTCGATCAACCAGGGTAAGTCTATAAAATAAATGTGTAAGATTAGTATAAAAATTAAAGGATAACGCTACTCTAGAGGTTGAAAAAAAGGTGAATTTTGGGAATTTTCAAGGAAAAATTGATACACGATATAGTGTCCGCAACAAAAAGACTTTATTGTACACAATTTAGATTCAAATTGGCAGCTGTAGGTGTTGGCAAGCAACAAACCTTTTTTTCAGAAGGCTGTATGGCCACAAAGGTTTCTTATTAACAGATGGTCTTGCAACAAAAAAAAACAAAAATTTTCTGATATACAGGGTGGCATAAAAGTATGGGAACCCCAAAAAATCTCACGAGATATGCATTTTCCGGAAAAACCAAATATAGGGAAAGTTAGGAATTTTTTCCTGGCTATTCAATGATGACCATGCCATAATCACTGACCACTGAATTATCAAGACGATTTTTTTAAATGGGAATCCCCCCTCTTTTAGCCCGGAAATGAGAAGAACGGAAAATTCATTCAGATATGACCTTGACCATTTAAAAAATTGCAAAATTGCGGCGAAATCAAGAAGGCGGACGAAATTTTTGAAAGTTAAACGATTGTCACCAAATTTTGTACACAGAGGTTTTCAAGGTCGCTGATCACGAATCCGGGGTAAGATTTTCAAAATTCAAGATGGTGGATCCAAGATGATGGGTGGGGTTATTTTAATTTAATCAAGAGGGACCAAAATTTTATATACGGGGGTTTTGGGGGTCACTGACCCCACATTCGTGATCGACTGATTTTCAAAAAATTTGTCCGCCGCCTTGAATTTTGCAAATTTGACCTCGGATCAGTGACTCCAAAAACCCCCGTATACGTTTGGTTGATTTTCGAAAAATTTGTCCGCCATATTGGATCCGCCATCTTGATTTTTTATATCCGACCTCGGATTCGTTATTAGCGACCTCGTAAACCTCCAAAATTTGGTGACAATCGGTTAACTTTTAAAAATTTTGTCCGCTATCTTGATTTCGCCGCCATTTTTTGAGTTAAAAAAGTGGATTCTCGAAAAACGCTTTTAAAGTTTTTGTTGCCATTCAGCGTAAGAAATTCGTTATATGTATGCGTTCAATCAGTGATACCTGCACCATATAATTGGCCTTCTTGATATTTTCTTCATACTCTTTTCGGTACATTATCACGAGTTACAATAAAACTTTTTTCCCTATATTTTTCACATAGTAAACCATTGTTTAAACCATTTATCCAAAAATCGATTTTTTCAAAATTCTAGAGTGGCGTTACCCCTTAAGTGTCGATTTTGTTTCCAAATCTTTTTTCCCCACCTACGAGAACAATGCTTTTATACTAGGTAGAAAATCTTGAAATAGTTTATTGTGAAAACTATATAAAAATAAAGTGTTTTGATACAGCTCTTAATTTATTTGAATTTTTTTTTAAATCAAGTACAGTAACACAAATATTAAATGACATTCATGCTTTCGAATTTATTTTATTACATAATGGTACAATATTCTTAAAAATACTCTTCAAACTATTAAGGACAACTCAAAATGAACTGAATAGAAATAATAAATTATTAACTTAGCTTATCACAGAGGTGTTATACGATTAGCAAAAGCTTCTAATATTTATTTAAAAATAATAATAAAAAACGTTTAACGTGAGAATAAAAAAATTGTCTAAGAGACACAGAGCGCATGTACGATAGTTATTAAAGCTGTCTAGATTTTCAAGTCGCATATATATTGGACTTTTAAGGACTTGTTTTCCTGAAATACACAATAGAACGGTTAAGATACCCGGAAATTTTCCATTGTAGGCGTAACAGAATCAGTTGGACAAAGCAATTGCATTCCGGCATTCAAAAAAATTGTTTAGATGGGAAATCAGACTAAAAATTTTATTTCCTCAAAATTTTTCGAAAGTAAAGAAGACAACATTTTTATCCATGAGATAAGATTACGTCTATTAATTTCGAATATTCCAGGTCATTTTTAATCGAATTCCTTAAGTATTTGTTTATTTGAGATTCCGATAACATTTCGACCTTAAAATAGTTAAGTAAACACAATTTGAGAGTTACCAGTACATATAAAAATTAATATATTTATTTCTTTAGTTAGTCGATTTTTTACTGGAAAATACTATTTTTAAGCTTCGTCATATATCTGTTAAACTAATTAATCAAAATGCTTTACTTAAATTTATAATATACTCTCGAATGTAACTAATTTTTCCAACTGTCCTGCTACACGTCTCTCGCTCTGTACACCCAAAATTAATCTAACATTCAGAAGCATTGAAATCCACACCGCTCGTATTGCCGCTACCCGGAGCAGGCTTCTTGGCGCCCCTCGCCAACCTGTCCAACTCAGCTGCCGCATCAGACCTCATGGTTACCTTGTCGGTTAAGCTCTCGCTGCCTGAGGGTTTCCCGGCAATCACACCGCCAGGACTACCCGTTTTCTTATGCAACAGGGAATTAAAGAAGCTTGCCAAAACACCTTCGCCTCCTGGCGAACTCACCACCTTCGAACCGTCTAGTTTGCGTGGAGAGCCTTGGATACCTGAGAAAATCAAGAAATGACATGTGGAGGGAACGAATTTATAGAAAATTAACACCGTACCAGCGAGAGGTAGCCTCGACGGAGTGTCGCCCAATCTCGGCATGGTTGGCGGGCCTCCTCCGAACGAAATCTGCTGCTGTCTCGTCAAGAAGGCCTGCTCGTCTTCAGCCAGAATCTCCGTTTCACGATTTACCGTTTTTCTAGTCGCAGGTTGGACGATGACGTCTCTATAATAGTCGTCTGGCTTGCACGAGTGCATATTCTCATACAAAATACTGATTTTCTTCATGTTGTCCCACCCTGCAGGTATAAACACGGCGTCTTTCTCTACCACCAATGCGGGAGTGTGAAAGGGGAAACTATATATACGGTGGGTAAGGTATTTGTACAGCAGATCGCAATTTTTGTCTTCCTTAGCGCTGGTGTAGAATAAAGCGGCTCCGTACTGCAAACAGAACCGCCGTATCCACTGCTGCATGAAATCGAGATGCTCGTCTCTGTAGTCTTGTTCTTTCTCTAGGTTTTGGATATAATCGGTCTTCGTTACGACCACGACGATATCCAAGCCAAGATTATTTGTAAGGGTGCCTAAATATTTAAAGCAGCATTGTTTAAAAGCATTATTACAACATAGAAAACTTACCTTCTGGCAGTGGAGACCCATCGAAATCCTCCTCTTCTTCGCCTAGATTCCTGGAACTTCTCTTCATAGGAGAAGCAGGATCTAACTCATCCCCCGGTTCAACGTAATCCTGCCACATCTTCACCATGTGCTGTCTGCGGCTCTGTCTCAAATCAACCTCTAGTTTAAGCTTATCTAAGTGATCGGCCAGGACCGAGGCCCAGTGTTGTAATTGTTCTAAGATACCCCAAGGTGTAGTCATCGCAACAGTGAGAATTACAAGTGTATCCTAAATTAATACAGATGTGTATTAAAGTAATTATAATATATCTAAGTTTTACCTGGAATGTCTCTTCATTTAGAGCAAACTTAAGAAGATCATCATGGGCTGGATCCCCATCCAGTACCCAGACACTCAACCTGGTGTGATCATCTCGATAATCGTCTCGAACATCTATAAAGGCGTACTCTAACCCTGATCCTTTGCTGGAATTTTCAATACCTTCAACAGTAAATACAATATATTGATCTCCTACGTTAAATATAGTAATATATTCGATACATTTTGAAATATCGGATTAACTGTACCTTGTAACTTGGCTACCATGGTGGTCTTGCCGGATTCATTGTCGCCCAGGACGACAATTTGCTTACGTGGAGACAATTTTGGATTACCATGTTTCTGGACTTCGTTAAGAATTTGCGACCACAAATTCTTCTTGTCTTCTTCGTTAGTTTTTCCGGCTTCTTCAGATGGTTTTTCTTGAAACGGAGCCATTTTAACTGTTTTGACGTCTACATTGACTTTGACATTTGACTGCTAAATTGACATTGAGCTGGAATGAACCAATGGAATTACCAAGTGTTTAATGTTACACCATATGGTGATTCATCATTTCATCGGAAGTGTTTTTTGTCACATTTGAGTACCCTTATGTTAAATATTCAACCAATACAATAACCCAGGCATGCAATAACCAATGAGTAAAAGGCATAAAAATCAACAACCTCCTTATAAAAACTGTAAATATTCAAAAAAATTTAGCGGACTGAAATGAATTTCATGTCTTTAAAAATTCATAACATTACTGATATACATATGAGTAACTAAATATTATTTATTATAATATTTATTTACTCATATGCTAATACATTTTCGGGAATCAAGTACCTTTTCAAACATTGTCTAAAATTAATTCTTTGAAGAATCCACTTTCATATATTTTGAAGAAAAAAATCAAATAAAACCCTAATTATATTACAGTTCCATACAATCAAATTAGTTTTAATGCGACAACTTCCGCTAGGCGGAGCTAGTGTTATTATCGAAATGTTTGTAACTCTGTACATATATTTATATATTTCTTTGGTGTAGTTATATATTTAATATAATTATTTAATTGTTATACCCGTTAATGCTTTGCTAATGATTTTATATATTTTATATTTGATTTAAATTTATTTTACCAGCGCCACCTGTGAGTAGAATATTTAACTAGAAGTACTCCCCGCGTGGGTCGCTGCAGAACTTGCCCCACCTATTTACATTTTGACCAACGTAAGCGCAAAAACCGTTAAATGCCGCTCCCCTATCATCTCCGAAAATAGTTTGGTTACCTCGTAGAGACCTCGACCGATTTTCTGTGAGTTTGTCGCGTTGTCTTGGTGCAGATAGTTGAGAGACAGTTGGTGAAGTGATCTGTGTCAAGCCGGTGTCAGAGAAACATAGTGAGAATGGCTTCGAAAGCTAAGAAAAGCTCGACGCCTCAACACGGGAGGCCATCAAGCCCTCTAAGCCCTACGAGGCACTCCCGGATGCAGGAGAAGCAGGATTTACAAAACTTGAACGACCGTTTAGCTACTTACATTGATAAAGTCAGGTACCTGGAAGCTGAGAATAACAGGCTCACGCGGGAAATACAATCAACACAGGAGACTGTGACCAGGGAGGTCTCCAACATCAAGTCCATGTACGATCATGAACTTTCGGACGCTAGGAAGCTGCTGGATGAGACCCACAGGGAAAAGGCACGTCTGGAGATCGACGTGAAGCGTCTTTTGGACGAAAACGACGAGTTGAAAGCTGATCTAGCAAAGAAATCCAAGGATCTGGTTCTAGCAGAGAATTCTGCCCGTATCTATGAGACAAGGTGCAATGAATTGCAGCTCAAGTACAATCAAGCTAATGGCGATGCCAAAAAGGCTATGGCCGATGTTAGGGACCTGGAAAAGGAAAGAGACAAGTTGAGGAAGCTTTTGGACGAGCACCGTAAACAGCTCGAAGAAGAGTCTTTGGCTAGGGTAGAAGTTGAGAATGCCAATCAAAGTCTCAGAGAAGAGCTTTCATTTAAAGACCAGGTATGTAATTTTTGATATTTCACCACATAAATCCATTTTCTATTATATTTCAACATAAATATATTATGCGTAGATTGGTGGGTTATAATTCCAAATTATAGAAATATGTTTATAATTTACATAAATATGTTGTCGGTTATGTCATTATTATAAATGTAAATAATAAGGTACAAAGCCGGCTGCTACGTCCCACTCCTACAGATATCAAAGCTGTTTGGTAACATTTACCTTGAGAATGTGTTTATTCGATCAGTGCTGGAAACCTAAAGTAATTAGTCATGTTTGTGTCCCTTATCCAGCACATGTGCATGCATACATATTATAATGCCACCAAATTCCTTATCTACCTAATTTAATGAATGAATCCTACGATAAACAGTACATGGTGGAATAATATTGACCGCCACACCAAAGCAGCCTAAAAATAATTATTATCTGAATCTATCCAGTGACCCATATAGTAGTCGCTGTTATTTTTGTGTTAGTTTCAAGGAAATTCATAACCATTTGAATAATGACATCATTCTTATATTCTTTGCTATTACACAATTGATAATTGGTTCATAGTAAATATTAACAGTTTAGGTTTATGAAAAAGGATTTTATTGCTTGTTTTGTTTATTATCTGTGACGTTTGGGAATATATCAGGTTTATTTTTAATTCGAGGTATAGTAAATATAAAAGTTTCACTGTATTTTTTTGCTTACGTTTACTTTAGTGTTAATTTGAGATGACAGGTTTGCTTTATGCATTAATCTCAATTTTTTTTAATAATAATTCAAGTACTTTCTTTAAATTTAAAAACAAATACAGTGTTGCTTATTTTGCAATAATTTTAACTTAAAAAACTTGGAAACTAGAATTTTCAAAAACTTGCAATATAAAACTTTGCGCAGATTTTTTTCCTAATGTTTGCTTGAACCTATCGAAATTTAAACCTACCAGATGCAATAAAATGTCATTTTAAGAATGATGACGTCGTAGAACACTCGCTAAAAAACGACTAAATTTTTTTATTCCCAGAAAGCTGGGATAGTTTCGCAGTTTTCAACCCGATTTTTTGCGAAGCAAGCTACTACCAAGCGAGATAGGCAAACGGTAGCGACACGCTATGTACACATTAAAAAATACAACATGGCCCTTGTTTACATTCACTTTGGGGTTTTTTGGTCGTTATTTCCCATCGTCTTTAGGTCGGTAATCGCTAGTTAGAGGCCTGCCGCCTTAATTTATGACTATACGAGGAAAGCTTTCGAATTTCAAGCAGCAGAGCGAAGCGGTGACGTCACCCAGGAAGTAGTGTTCTTTAGAGACGATATCAGGGGTTATTTAATGCCATATGAATTATTTAAGCCGTTGTTTTATAGAATTAACGATATTCGTATTGGTAATATAAACAGAAGATGTACGCCAACTGACATCATAGAATTGCGAATAAACGGAAGAGCGATTCAAAAACAACGCGCTTATTCGCGCCGTTTTTTTTTTCAGTTCAACTTGATTTTTTATTGAGAAATTAAAATTGTTGGTATCATTTTTTGAATAGATTTAAATAATGGACAAAACAGCATTATAGTGGTAAATATCTCGCTTTATTCCTATTCTATAAGCAACAAAATATTGGTGATGTTTTTTGCGATGTTTGGGCTCTAAAATGACGAAGGAAATTAATATTAATTGAGTTTCAGTTGATACAATATTTACGCAACTGGTATTGATTTAACGTTATCACATCGTGTTATCATTGCGGTTTCCTCTAAAACGGGAGTATATAGCAGGTGAATGTAACAAATGATAAAAAAAAAATTATTGTTCAGATAAAGAGCTTTCAATTTATACAGGAAAAATATTATGTATTGGTATTTAGTCATAAATAAGGATAATTCCATATGTATTTCTTGAAAATCATTTTGCGGTATTTATATCTTTTATGCCGATACGATAAATATAATGGTGCAGCTATACTCATAAATATTTAGTTATGGTTCTAAAAATAACCAAAAGTATATTATTTTTACAACCGTCTCAAGTTGGAATCGATTGTAATTGATAAACGACGTCACAGTGGTAAAACTGCCTCGATGTTCTGTTGTTAACAGGGAATTCGCTTGTTTCTCGGTGATGTGCCCCCTGATGATTTGATCGTAAAGTATTATTTGAGAAAACAACGCGTTGCTGTTGATGTGTTTATCTGGAATTAAAACAGGTGTTTCCCCTGAAATACGACAGCTCTATCGTGCCAACTACGCTCGCCAACCAAAAAGCGTCACTCTATTTTGCGGCGCTATGATTGAGCCAATTTGTTTTTACTGTTATTTTGGTCGGTTGGTCACGCTCTAAGCATCCACTATCGGCTCTATTTTCGTCTCGGTCACCTGTATTTTTAACCTAACCTCGAAATTTTTAAAAAGAGCCCGGTGGGCGTCAGAAGACAAATGTCGGCGCATTTTTTGGCGCCCCAAAGGAATCTGGTACTTATTTTATAAATATTTAAGGATCAAACGTAAAACAAGACATTGTAATATGCCATTAAACATAGAGTTGACATGTTTGGGCTGGAATATTTGAACAAGAGAAATGAAAATAGTTGGTGACGCCAACTGTTGTTTTAAATAATCACCAAGGAAACTATGGTACTCTTAACTCCCAGTTGATGAAAATCATAGAAATATTTTATTTTATTGTTCTGTTCACGTTTATCGACCAAAGACTGAGCGTAGTTGCCGCGCAACTCGTGGAAAAATACAAAGGAAAGCGACTAATCATCTTCGTGATAACAGGCAATGAACGCGCTGCGAAAAAAGTAGGTCAGTGGGTCGAACACGAGATATTTCGAGGTATTCACGAAATCTCTCATGTTCTTATCGGTTTTTGTACATTAATAAATAAATAACCCCTTCTAAATTTCTCCTAATTGTGTAATTGAAAAATGAGTTTTTGTGTTTGTTTGCTTTGACGCAAAAAAACATGAAATTATGAAAATGATTGGTTTTTCTATATTTATGTATTATATAATCGATTAGCAACCTCTTAAAATCGTTCGAGTGGAAGGTGGGCACTCGTTATAACGAGGCAGGTTGTTTGAACGTTTACCGGGTTATTATTACGTCATCATGTTGATGTTTGCTGCCGTAATTGTTTGCTTGCCGGCCTTGCTTTGCCGTAGAAGTGGAGTAAAAGCAATTTTTGTTTTCTCCCGCTTCAACCGTCGAGTTCCCCTTAGTCCAAGCATTCTGTCACGGATTAATGTTAAATTTGCAGAAATTATTACCTGGACAAAAAAAATATGACCGTATAGAAAATTAAATTTTATATTGAGTTTCTTGTTCTTTAAACTCGATCCAATATGGCGAATATGGTTAAAAAAAATCGCAAAGTTGAAAAAATCGGTTTTTCTAAAATAACTAAAAAAATATAGCACGGATTGAAAAATTTTAAATGAGAAAGTTGTAGGTTTTAAAAAGATCTATCGACTGATTTTTTGAAAGTATCGATTGCTTTGTTACTTTTCGAGATATATCGAAAAAACCGTTAAAAATCTTCGTTTTTCTCTTCTTCTATAACTCGTTTACATTTACGTGCCCATATTTGCTATTTACTGCAAGCATAGCCCGCCGCAAGCTAAAAAAGTACATTTTTGAAAAATTTAAAAATATTAATTATTTTTCGAGATATATCGATTTTTTGAAAAAAAGGCGCTCTCAAAAATTGGCCAGATCTTCTCAGCGGATAGCCCTACAGTAACGATTTTCGGTTTATTTTCTTCGTAAAGAGTTATATTATCATACTGTTAAAAAACGTTGACGATTTTATTAATTTTAAGGATCAAAAATTGACTGAAAATGTTGCACTTTTTTGGGTATGTTTTTTTCAAATAACTATTTCAATTTTTATTATTTTTTTGTACTTAATCTGGGGTAGCTAAACACGAATATTATAGCATTTTCGCCTTAGTAGCAAAATAGACCCGTAAATGTTTAGTTTTCTTTCTTTAAAAGTCATTTTCATAAAATAAAAATTGAAATAGTTACATACCCAAAAAAGTGCAACTTTTTCAAAGTCATTTTTTGATCCTTAAAATTAATAAAATCGTCAACATTTTTTAACAGTATGATAATATAACTCTTTACGAAGAAAATAAACCGAAAATCGTTACTGTAGGGCTATCCGCTGAGAAGATCTGGCCAATTTTCGAGAGCGCCTTTTTTTCAAAAAATCGATATATCTCGAAAAATAATTAATATTTTTAAATTTTTCAAAAATGTACTTTTTTAGCTTGCGGCGGGCTATGCTTGCAGTAAATAGCAAATATGGGCACGTAAATGTAAACGAGTTATAGAAGAAGAAAAAAAGAAGATTTTTAACGGTTTTTTCGATATATCTCGAAAAGTAACAAAGCAATCGATACTTTCAAAAAATCAGTCGATAGATCTTTTTAAAACCTACAACTTTCTCATTTAAAATTTTTCAATCCGTGCTATATTTTTTTAGTTATTTTAGAAAAACCGATTTTTTCAACTTTGCGATTTTTTTTAACCATATTCGCCATATTGGATCGAGTTTAAAGAACAAGAAACTCAATTTAAAATTTAATTTTCTATACGGTCATATTTTTTTTGTCCAGGTAATAATTTCTGTAAGCATTTCTCTATAATGCTTGGACTACCTCGTTTGTAAACGCGACGCGAAGCGCTGCTTTGTCGAAAAAATTATGTCACTGTCGATTTTACGTATTGGATCATCTCTCTAGCGGGTTCTTCTACGTGTTTTCTTTGTTAGTGTATTTATAACTTGTTATTTACATATTTTATTAGAGTTGATATTTTATTTAGTAAAAATGAAATACACACTTCTTTTTTAACATCAATTGCGATAGTTCTATTCATAATTTTGATTCAATCTGTTCGGCAACTACCTATAGTCTGTTTTAAAATGATTGGAGTCATAAAAGCCCATTATTTATACGCAAATCACTTAAAAACCTATTTAGTAGTAAAAGCATAATGAGAGGTTCTAAGGTAAATGTTTACCAGCTTGGGATTATAAGAATTTGGAGGCTCTTTTCTTTATCCCTACAGTTGAATATTTTTTCTACTTTATTAAATATAAATTGTCTGAAATTTTACTCTGAATAAAATACATTGCTTCTAGGTCTGGTACTTTGAGTCTCGGCTAAAGCTTGATTAACTGATCAGGCGATTAGGCTGTACATATACTGATTTAGATTTATTTTATAAAGTATAGTCACAATCTAATCGACTAATTAGTTAATCAAGCCTTAACCGATACTCAAAGTACCAGGCCTTAATGATTTATTTGTTGGTATTTAAATTTCAATTCGAATCATTACTGAACATAAAGATGTGTTTTTATATGTACAGCAAAGTTAATTTCTTCAAAAGATCAAGTTTTTAAACATGAAATTGGATTTGTAAAAAATGTGTTATTATCAATATCGAAAAAGATTTGTTGATAGAACTTTGGAAAATATTGAAAATATAAATAATTCTCTAAGATAACAACAAAATGTTACTTATATAGGGTGTTCCTAAATAAGTGTCACAATGGAAAACTGTAAATTCCTCTTGAAAAAAGAAACATATTTTACCTCCCATTTTTCTCTCCGGGCTTTCGATTTCGAGATACACGGTGTCAAAACTTAATTTTTTATTGTTGGCTGAAATACTTGGTCTAATTTTTTTTTGTCTCAAAATAGAAGTTTTTTCGACTGTTAATAGGAACTTTTCAGCATAAATTTTTCTATGGGATCGCAAAGTTTGTAGGTTTCTTATGGAAACACTATATTTTATTTTATTTTATTAAAATATTTTAGTAGAAAGCTTTGCTGAATCAAAATATTCTGTCAATTCATGCGATAATAAATAATATTAGACCTAAAAAAAAGTTATACCAAATATACATAGATATTATTTTTTTTTTGGTTAAACTTTATGTTAGCTCACAGTAGTCGTTTAAGCCGAAGTACAATTATTTCCCAAAATTTTTATCATTTCGTTAAAAACACTAAATAATCTTTATTGCTATGCATAATCATCAAATACTCCTTTCTTTGACAAATAATTTTCAAGTGCAAAATTTACAAACACAAAAAAAGATTCATACGTAGGGATTACGATAGTTTCCATGAGTATAAAAAAAAAACTAAGCACTCTTACGACAGATTAAAAAAATTAAGATATGTTACTCCACACCATTTCAACACTAACCATAGTAGACTTGACCTAGTTATTCTCGTATGTGCGCACATCGTGGCCTCGTGCGTCATCTACAAGACCTTCCATAATTAACACCAATAAAAAAACCTATTTTACCTTTTGTAACGTTCCAGGTATACCAACAGCAGCTCACCGAAACCAGGACCCGTCGCCAGGTTGAGATCAGCGAACTGGATGGCCGCCTCGCCGAAAAGTATGAGGCCAAGCTGCAGGAGACCCTGCAGGATCTCCGCGACCAGTACGAGTCGCAGATGGCCAACAACCGCCAGGAGATCGAGCTGCTCTACGAACAGAAGATCAAGAACCTGCAGGCGGCCAACGACAGGCACCAATCTTCGGCCGCTGGCGCCTTGGACGAACTCAGGCAGGTCAGGACCAGGATCGATACGTTGAGCACAAGAATATCGGAGCTAGAGAACCAGAACGCCGGGCTCGTAGCCAGGGCTAGGGACCTGGAGAAACTGCTGGAGGTGAGTACAAGGTATTTTTTAATAGAACGTTTGTGGTATGCGGAAAAATTGATTTCAGAACGAGCGTATACGTCATGCCGAAGACCTGGCGCTCTTGGAAAAGGAGTTGCAGAGACTAAGGGACGAAATGACCATTCAGCTGCAGGAATACCAGGATCTCATGGACATCAAGGTGTCCTTGGACTTGGAGATCGCGGCCTACCGCAAGCTGCTTGAGTCTGAGGAGGCCAGGTTGAACATCACCCCGCACGGTGAGTGAAAACTTTTTTTAAGCTTTAACTGCAACTTCTTCAGGAGGCTTGGATTGAATAATTTTATTTGAAACGCTCCCCATGAAGCTAAACAAGGATTGCACTATTTCCTTTCTTTCAGGCAGAAAGTCGCAAAATTGCAAACATTTTCTCATAAACCAAAAAAGTGGAAACTAAAATAAATGTAATGAAGAGGTCATTGACATTGAAATTCACAAACTAAACATAGTGCTTAGAATAATTATTACTTTTCATTCAAATCTTGACACGTTATAAAGAAGAGGAAATTATAAAACAATTACTTTTCAGGAGCTATTAGACAAGATTAAGTGACTTTTAAAGTTAGTGTTCTGGGGAACACGCTATTAATGTAAATAAAGTTACACCCCGTATATCATTTTTTACAGGCAGCGAACGAGAAGTGTCCCACCACAGCACCCGCAGCTCATCGCAGCGCCGCACCCCCGTCCGCCTTGGGGCCAAGCGCAAGCGCACCCTCCTCGAGGAGAGCCAGGAGTCCAGCCTGTCCGACTACACGGTCAACAGCTCCTCCAAGGGTGATATCGAGGTCGCCGAAGTGGACCCGGAGGGTCACTTCGTTAAGCTGCACAACAAGAGCAACCAGGAGGTGGCTCTTGGGGGCTGGCAGGTCATCCGTAGGGTCGGAGAGGACGAGACCCAGTTTAAATTCCATCGCTCCCTTAAGTTAGAGGCTAACGGGTACGTGACCATCTGGAGCTCGGACCTGAATAAGGACCACGAGCCGCCCAACAATCTGGTGATGAAGGGCCAAAAATGGGTTATCGGGGACAATATGATCACCACAGTATTGAATAACAATGGAGATGAGGTCGCCGTCTCCGAACGGTAAGTTTTTAAACGATAAAATTAATTATTAATTTATAAGAGTAATGGTAGAAGGCTCAGTATAGGACCTTGAGGAACTACATTTACCTTCTAAAGCGGATATTTGTGTGGTTCACAATTATTTTCTTACAGGGTGAAGAGACAGCTCTCCAGTTCGCTGCTGAGACACAGAGAGGTGGCGGGGGGCTATCACATCGGCTCCGAGGAGCTGCACCACCAGCAGGGGGACCCGCAGGGCGACGAGAAGTGTCGACTGATGTGAGACACGGCTCCCGTCTAGAAACAGTGTAGCGTTAAGAGTTAAGCCACAGACTTTGAGGAACGCGCCCATTCGGTCCGCCCCTTCCGTTTCGCGGTGCATTTCAGTTTGTTTCGTTTATTCGAGAATGTCGCCCCTCCTTTTTTATTTTTCGTAATTACACGGGCAGAATGGACGCAGCTTCGTCTGTTATTGACAAAAAACTTACAGTTGGTAGGCCCCCGTGGGAATGTCCACATTCCAGAGTAGTCCCCGACTGGGTTCGTCGCGGATTTTTTTTTGCTCGGGACGAATCTAGTCGGCCGTTAGGATTTGTTTTAAACAATTGATGATGGATCGGTTGCTTGAAACGAACCTACTAGATTTGTGGTTTGAAACTATCGACCTTACAGTCGTTTGTTTCGGACATTGCCATATTCGATGTATAGGATTGACAAATGCAGTTCACGTGTCAGGTTTTTGTCAATATTTTATTTTTTGTACTAAAGTGTAATGAATCTCCTGAAAGGGATTTATAGAGCAAGTAATATGTTGAATTATAAAGACTTTTATATATTTTTATTTTATATAAGTAAATAAAGGAGTTTAATTTTTTTGAATTTTATAAGAAATTTTGTGCGTAGCAAGCGTTGCATTGTCCGTGAATACTTTTCCATTTGCCCAAGTTTGCATTTTTTTTACAACTTTACCGTTCTGCATTTTAAAAAATTCTTGGTACGTAGGTTTAAGTATAACTTTATGCTTTTTTTGTATTTCTTCCTTTTTTTTGTGTTCAATAAAATACATTTACTTATCCTTAGTTTTTATTGTGCCTTACGACACACCAGCCGTATTTTTTTTTTTTAAGTTAATTGTTTGCATGTCTAGATTTTAGTCATCACTGAGAAAAACATTTAGTGTTAGTCGTGTACTTGAGAATCGATGTTTTTCACAAAAATAAAGTATATTTTCACCAAAGCAACTTTTATTTCCTCAAAAAAAATATTTTCGTAATCGTCTAACAGTGAAAACTCTATTTCTCCAATCTAGAAAATGGTAAGTAGTTACTTTTCTATTAGGACAAAAAAAATGTCAAAAATTAAGAATATTTCATATAAAAGTGCTGATTTTATAGTAAAAAGTTATAGGGTGTACAGAAAAAATTTACTCAATTTTGTGACATCTACAACACCCTGTATATTAATAAATTTTTTAAATCGAAGTCTGGAACGTATGTATTTAAAAATACAGTGAGCGAACGAAAAATGCTAGAGATAAGAATAGATCCCTAAGATATTAATAAACATGACCACATGACCTAATCAATAAAAATGACATAAATCCCCCCTGCACCCCGAAATCAATTTTGTCAAAATGTTAAAAGTATACATAAAGGTGACGTAAGCCGTGCCATTTTTACAATTCCATACATATTTTGGAAGATGACATTATCAGCATGGGTCAATACTTTCCCGCTGAGTTGTATCTAAAAATAGTAAGATTTTTTCCATGACGACACCGTGTATAAATTCCAGGTGTTTCTTTTCGAAATAGTAATCACCAGAGGGAGCCTGCTTACAGGACTCGTGCATTGACCACCTTTACAATATGGATGACCTCTGCTTTAAAAAGTTAAGCAGCATTTAATTCTAAGTTCAAATTATGTAGAGTACGCGTACGGCGTAAGCATGATGCATATCATTCTTTAAGCCTTTAAGGTCAAACCAGTTATTGAGGCAGATAATTTGAAAAATTTGCATCCAGCCCCAATAATTTCGTTCTTAAGTAACGTAAATTATTCGTACAGGCCTGTACGTACCAATTAATCATTATTCATTTTTTTGATAGAGTTACTGGACTTGAGCCACTGTAGACCACAAAACATATTACACAAACACTTAAGAAAGCATCTATTTAGAAATAAGTAATGTAATATGTATTATAAATTAAAAGTTATAAACCAGTACAGGGCAATTTCCAAAACTTGTAGTTAAAATTCTAAATACACAAATTTTATATGTGAAAATTTCCTTGTATTCCATTAGATGTCGATACTTTCGAAAGAAGTTTTTTTTTCAATGACGAGGAGAGTTTAATAATTTTAGTGAAACTTTTAATTAACAGATAGCGCTTATAATAAAAATTAGGAAATCAATATTCTATATTCTATGGTTCTATGAATTCGACATAACCTCCTAAACTAACCAAAATTTCTTGTCATTGTGAAAAAATGGCGACCGCGGTTCATCAGTCAAATGTTAGTGATTATTTATCAAAAAAGCAAAAAGAAAGCCCTAAGGAACTGGGCGCAGAATGGGCTGAGCTCGAGGAGCTCCACAATAAAAAGTAAGTTCATCATTTTATTCGATTTTACTCGAAGTACCAAACTTCTATCCGAATTACTTTGTTTTAGATTGTGGCATCAGTTAACATTAAAACTGTTAACTTTCATCAAAAAGCCAGAGATACAGAAAGGCGACAATGTTATTCACCTTTACAATAATTTCATCCAAACCTTCGAAAATAAGTAAGTCATTTTTTAATCACATAACCTCAAGCTACATCTGATTATTTTTAGAATAAACCCTTTGTCTCTGGTCGAAATCGTTGCTATTGTAGTTGAACATTATAAGGTTCCCCAAGAGGCCGTAGCATTCTTAGAAAAGACAGAACCCAAAGTTAAAATAAACCCTGATGCGCAAAATTTATGTAAAGTTCTTGCGGGACAGATTTACATTGAGAAGTTAAACGATCTAGACGCGACCAAAAAGATCATCGAAGAAGTTGAGGCTACTCTGGACAATGCTGATGGAGTCACAGCTGTCCACGGCAGGTTTTACCTACTCGCGTCACAGTACTACAGGTATTTTGTTTTTATTTTGAGAAAATTGTTTAATTACTTGAGATGCTTGTAGAATCCAAGGCGATCATGCTCAGTACTATAGAACAGCCCTACGGTATTTGGGCTGCATAGAATTGAATACTCTCACTGAGGAGATCAAAATCCAGCACGCTTTCTTCTTGGGATTGGCTGCACTTTTAGGCGAAGGCGTGTACAACTTAGGGGAACTCCTAGCGCATCCGGTACTAGAAACTTTAAAGCCTACCGAAAATGCTTGGTTGATCGAACTTTTGTACGCTTTCAACTCGGGTGATATCAACAAATTCGAGAAGATGAAGTCTCAATGGGGCACAATCGCCGATCTTGCCGCACAGGAGCTATTTCTGAGGCAGAAGATATCACTTTTGTGTCTTATGGAGGTTAGTAGAACAGGAAGTGACATGTACGTGTGTATACATTCCCAGTTTTATTACAGATGACTTTTAAGAGGCCGTCTCACAATAGGCAGTTAACGTTCGCTGAAATCGCTAAAGAAACGAAGCTGCCGATAAATGAGATCGAGCTTCTAGTTATGAAAGCATTGGCGCAGGGACTAGTTAAAGGTGCCATCGATCAGGTAGGCCACACAAATTTACAATAAATTAGATATTTTACACACGGTAGTAATTTTTTATAATTTTTTTGAATAACATTTTTGATAGGTATAACTAGAAAAAACTTAAAACTTGAGATAAAAAGTGGTATAATCTATGATTTGCCACATGAATTCCATATTATTGGTTATTCTGTTTTATTATACAGGGTGTAACTTTGCAATGGGTCTTATTCATATCCAGGCTAAATTCGATATTTACGTACACATGTTTTCAAACCTGCTGCTGCGCAAACTAGTGTAACCTTAATTGCGAGTTACGGCGTGCATTGTTGTCAAATCTTATCTTTCTTAATTCATATACGTGTATTTTTATAGTGTCACATGGAAATTTAACAATAAAGACACACAAACACAAAGTACCGACACTAAACACTGAAATAAATAACTTTATAAGGTTATACACTTACACCACACATGAAACGTTAAAGTTTAAATTAATTTAAAAAAAAATCAAATGTGTCAAATTAGTATTTTTAATTATTTTTCATGTACCTTTTATAGAACATCAAAAATAATTATTTTAAAACACAAATTACTTTTACTTACAGTTAGTAATGTGCCATAATTAGTAAATAATTAATAAATTATTCAAGGTTTGGTAAAAAAGTAACGGGAATTGTTAATTTTCCCAGAAGTGTTTATTTACTCTTTAATTTTTATCCCATCCCGTTCAAAGCAGTCCCCTGTGATATTATACAGTTATGTTTGTGAGTTTGGGACATAGGAAAAAGTCGCAGGGATTATGTCCGAAATAATAGGGTGGTTGCGGCATCACAACGCTATTGTGTTTCGCCAAAAACTGTTGGATAAGCAAAGCAGTATGCAACGGTGTGTTGTCGTGTTGCAAAATTCACAAGTGGTCTCTCGTGTTCTTGTCGTTTTCTCCTGATTGTCACACGCAATTTTTGACATCTTCTTGGCCTTCCTGCAAACATTTGTACCATTGATAAATCGTTGCTGTAATATACGTCGCCAAAGGCCTTCTTTAAAATTTTGAACACTTCACTACACTTAATTCCATTTTTAACACAAAACATTAGACAAACTGATCAGACATTTTGATACATAAAAAATTGTCAAAAACACTCAGGTAAGTCTTATTCATTCGCTTGCTAAACACAAACTAAGCATGGTAGCTGCCTAAAAATTGACAGATATGTCACTGACAGTGCTACCGATACCCAAAATAAGAATCAACTTGATAGACAAGATACAACACGTGTAATTTGAAAATTCCCGTTACTTTTTGATGGAACCTAATATACAGTAGAACCCTGATTATCCGTGATCTACAGGGCCAAGCGTGGCACGGATAATTGAAAAACACGGATAATCAAAACATTTATTTTTTACGTAAGAAAAGGAGCAATAGTAAACATGCACAAAATCATTGAAAATGCAATTTGGGCACATTTATTTTAAGTACCTAGTTATACTTTTTAAACAGTCAATAATTTTGGTCTGTATTCAGGGTTCATAGTTCAAAAGTAGTGACTTTTCCAGGATTTCCCTGAAATAAATAAAAATCCAGGTCATTTGTAATTTATTTTTACATACTAATTGGTGTTTATGCATTAAACTGTTTCTAGACTGGGCTCCATAATTTTTTTTATACCCAAAGAACCTCTTATAAAGATTTCAAAACTGCAAATAGAAATATTTCAAGAACCCAGGACCTGCTTTCACAAAATTTCCAGTAGCAAACGTCAAATTCCTTGACTTTCATGAATACTTTTAAAATTCCCTATTTCCTGTTTTTTATGAAGAATTTCTAACATTTTCACTTTGAAAATTTTTATCAGAAACCCATAATTACTATTTGTAGAGAATACTTTGCAGGTTCTAAAACCCTACTTGGATTTTCTGTATGACCATTATTTCCCGAGTAGTTGATTGCCAGTCAAAAATGATTTTTTTGCTTTGATCGACGATAACTCAGCGACAAATAATCGTACAAGGCTCCAGAACCGCTTAAATTGAAGAGAATCAAATTATCTAAAAGAGCTTTATGATGAAATTACCAAAAAAATTTTTTGAAGTCCATAGGCCTTTTTAAAAAAAACAAAAAATTACAAATTTTTTTTCCTTGATTTTCTTGATTACTCAAAAACTGCTTATGCTAAAAAATTTTAAACTGCAGATCTGAAAACTAGACACCTGAAGCTTCATTTTCCTTTTTTATGGTTCTCCCTACGACCATTTCCCCCCAAGTTACAGCTCTTTGAAAATTACCCAAAATTTCTAGATTTTTTTAATATCTCTTAATTTCTGTGCCTAGTGTAATACGTTGCAGTCATTCAAAATCTGAAGTTTTTGCAAAATTGTTACTCCATTAGTTTTATACAGTTGGATTAAAAATGGTAACAACTAACAGTACCAAGTGCTCATATATGTGTTTGGGAATGGCCCAGTGATGGCGTAGACAGAAGTTGAAGTGCTTTTAAAAAAAAATTTATTCTAACGGCTATTTGATTAATAAAAAAATATTATTCAGAAGAACACAAAATATTACCTCTAAAATAGGGACACCCGCTTAAAGTTACACCCTGTATACAAATTTTTGCCGTCTATTTTTTTTTATGTAGAAGACAATCGCTATTCATGTTAAATATTTAGGTTGCCAGTACCGTAAATATGACTTGGGTGCAACCCAGAGTCCTGGACCGGTCCCAGATATCCGGCATGGTCGACAGGTTGAACGAATGGTGCAAACATGTCGGAATGATGGAGAAGTTGCTAGAAGAGAAGGCCAGTGAAATATTAACTTTGTAGTAGGTACTAATTATTTATATTCTTTTTCCTCCGAAAACTATTTTTTAAAACTTATTTACAATAAAACCTTGTTCAAAAAAAAAAGTGCGTTGCATTTTCACCTGTTGCGGGAAGAATTAAAACACCCGTATTCTATATATAAACATTTTATTGAATCAGTTACATAATTTCACTCCAATATATATATATATCAGTTAAAAAAATTAATAAAAAAAGGAAAGGGTAAAAGCGAGTGAAATAGACATATAGTTCTGTAAAATATAAATATCTAAAAGCTCTTAACAACATCAGCCATATGAACTTATTGCTCCAAAAAGTACGTAAGACGCTAAATAGGATTTGGCACTATTGCACATGTTTCGTTTTAATACATCTTTCACCTATTTTTAAGCTTACAAAAATAACTATATTTATGGGCAAGGCATTTCTACATCACTTAGTGTAAATATATATGTATGTATATGTATCCTAGCGGATTTCGTGCGAGGGTTACCAGGGAAAGTTAGAGTCACGTTATTTTACATAGAAAATTATTGAAGAACGAAATGTCTCGAAATTATTAAAGATAATTAGCCTACGGATTGTCTGTCTGGGTGTTGGTTAAAAGTATGCGGCGACTTTCACCTTGTGACATTGAAATTGTAAGAAAAGGTCAAGAAAGTTATAGATTATAACGGACAGTTCTCTTATAAATAAATAAAAAGTTATGCAAAGACATTTGACGAACTAAAACAACCGTTACCAACGCAGAAAATTTTTGTTTCGTATACATATCTCTGCGCTTCAAACAATGTTTCCAACTTTATCTTTTTGAGTATATCAGGCGCTACCCAGACTAATTTTTTTTTTTAGTAGAAATAAGAAATAAATAACAATTACAATGAACACAAAAGGTCGGTCTAAACGTTCGTCTAAGCATAGGCGTACCACGGCTGCTTCCTGACCCATCTCAACTTGCCGTGAGTTTGGGCGTGGATCTTTACACTGGCGCTCTCCGCCGCCCTCACGGTTTCCTTCACGCTCTGCATCAGGTTCTGGGCGTTGCCCTCCAGCATTTCGGTCGCTTCTCTGTCTTCTTCGGATCCTGAGAGAATTATGAATAAATTTCAAACTATCATTTTCAAAGATTAACGATAAGCTTAGCTTATTTATACACAATATTAAGTTTTAAGGCAACTATATAGTGCCTTCCGAGCAACCGAACAAAATTTCATCAGCATATGCGGATCTACCACAAAGTTTGTATAAAGCAAGTTTCTGATAGTTGTCGTGGAAACACACATTGAAAAGTGTACAGCAGTCAAGTTCTGTTTTAACTTAAACAACCATGGAAACGTATCAACTGTTATAAACGGCATACGATGAGGAGTGTGTATCATGTCCAACTGTGTTCCTGTAGTTCGAGAGGTCGTGATGGCCGAGACAGCGTGCATGAGGACGAGAGGACAATCCACAAAAGTCGAACGAATGAAAACATCGAAGCTCTACGCTGAAGTCTGATCGTCAATCCGCTGAAGTCTGATTGTCAATCAATTGTAAACGGTCTACCAACATTTCGATGGTTGATTGACGATCAGACTTCAGCACGAAGAATACAGCTTCAATGTTTTTGTTCATTTGGCTTGAGCATGGACGCCCCAACCTTTTATCGTCGTGCATGCTGTCTCAGTCATCATGAAACCTTCTGAATCACAGAAACGCATTCAGACCTGATACACACTCCTCATCATACGCCATTTGTAACTGCTGATACGTTCGCTTGCTTCACGCAAAACATTATAACTTCGTGGTAGATACACACATACTGATGAAATTTTGTTCGGTCGCCCAGAAGGCTTTCCACTATGTAGTTCCATTGACCGCACAGAGATAGCGCCATGTACTTTGCCACTATAAAATCAGTCCTAAAACTTAATAGCTGCACTGTGTATGCAGTGTTGCTACATGAACAGTATTTTCAATTTCCCTAATCTTTTCTCTGTTATCCAATAAAAACAAAAATTTGTCCTCCTGACTATTTGCCACAAATTCGATGAAGACTGAGATGCAATTTGTTTTGGTTGTACAAGTACAAAAATTTACTTTTCGAAAAACCGAGGTCATTTTGTTTAAATAGAATTTACTTAACTAATTTCCTGTAATCGTTTCAAAAATTAATATACAGGATGTCCTAGTTTTATTTTGCGAAAATTCGAGTCAGTAAAAATAATGGGACTTAATTTGTAAAAACAACCATTTCAGAGATGCATGATGTTGAAATTGAAAAAAATATACATTTTTATTTATATCTCTGACAGTAAGTAGTTTAAATTTCATTATTTATTATTTTCATTATATCAGCGGTATTCAAAATTTTATGACTTGCGGAACCCGGCCAACATTTCAATTTTTTTGAGGAACCCCTACACCAAAAAAAATTTTTAAACACATTTTTTACTGATTATACATATACAGGCTGTCTACTATAAGAGGGTCACTCCTATGTATCTCGCTTAATACACGATGCACGTCAAAAATCTTTATATGTTTTTTGTTGCATTTTTTGAGGCCTTGATGCTGATAAAAACAAATTTGAGATCCATGGACAACTTTATGGGAAATCATAAAAAAACCGAAAAAGAACTTAGAACCGAAAGCTTAGGGCCGTCTAACTTTTTTATTTTCAGAGATAGAGAAAACTTATTTTAACAAAATTTCATGGCAAAATTGATATCTTTCACCTGATGTAAACAAATTATTGAAGTATCGTATGTAATTTGCTGATTTTTGAGATAAGCTAAGGTAAGCTAGTTTGTCTGTGCAAGAACAATGTCGAAGGCTCAGTTTTCTCTAAAGTAAAAACCCAATATTATAATAATGTGTGTATTTTGCTTAAAAGAAGTGCATTATATTTATTAATTTTTTTATAGTTGACACGTGTCTACAACAATTTCTACGTTAACACGAAAATGTTTACATGTTTACAAAAAACAAGCAATTTTTTGAGCCACAACCTGCTTCGATGACAATTTTTTTTTGCCTGCATAGAGGGCACAGCAAATTACATACCATATTTTAAAAATCTGTTTACACTAGGTGAAAGATATCAATTTTGCCATGAAATTTTATTAAAATAAGTTTTCTCTTTCTCTTAAAATAAATAAGTTAGACGGCCCTAAACTGTTAGTACTTTTCCGGTCTTTTTATGATTTCTCATAAAGTTGGTCATGAATCTCAAATTTGTTTTTACGAGCATAAAGGCCTCAAAAAATGCAACAAAAAACATAAAGATTTTTTAATTGCGTCGTATATTAAGCGAGATTCATAGGAGTGGCCCTCTTATAGTAGACGGCCTGTATATTATATTTATACATACTAGTTTTAAGAGTATACATTTTTTGAATTTTGTAGTATTGATATTGTTAATTTCAAAATTTTTAATTTTTGGCTAAGTCGCAGAACCCCAGAGAGGTTGTAGGGAACCCTAATGTTCCACAGAACACAGTTTGAATACTGCTGTTTTAGATGCTAGTATGAATCTCTACGTCCAGAAATTTTTTTAACATTGAGGGAAATTAGAACTTTTTTTATTTCTACTTTTTCAAAAAACAATCATACATAACAGTCCCCTTGTTTTAAGTTGCCAATGTAAACTATTTCTGAGAAAAAAAATTTAGTGATTTGAGGCAATATATTTTGCATTTGTCTTTCATTATAATGCTGGTAAATTATGTTCAAATTTTATAATTTTTAATAAACAATTATCGCAATTGATGATTTAATAGATTTTAATTCAAATGTATAAAACAAATTTTCTTTTTATTTAAATCTTGCCAGGTTTGTTCTGCCAAATTAGTGAATTTTAATTTTATGTCATTGTCCTTAAACATTATACATGTTTTTTTGAAATGAGACGTTTTTCTAGATTTTTTAATGATTCCTCAATCCTTTTTTGAGGTGACGCAAAAATATTTCAGAAAATTTCTTTATTTCCCCGACATATCGCCGTTTCCCTGTACTTCCTTTACCCGTTTTTATATATGTAGCAGTCCTAATATAATAAACGAAATGTAAAAGGATGTTAAAGCATGTACAATACCTTTTGCTGGTTTTCCTTCAATGGAGCAAGCACAGAAAGCAAATTTACAGCTAACGATACAACTGGTCTCATTTTATATACATGATTGTACATTTTCCGTAATTTAAAATCCTTACCCTGAGATCCTAACATGGTAGCCTTAACAGTGCTGAGAATCTTCAATTGCGTCGCAATCGTCGGGATTCTCTCGCAGACCTGCAACAAGTTGGTCCTAATTCTTTTATCGGTGCATTCCCTGGCCAGCTGCTTGGCGATACGCGTTACATCCGCGCTAGCATCGGCGATAGCCTTAGCCGTCGCAATCAACTCCCTCTTTGAACCTGAAATTTACATAAAATGTAACCGGATGTACAACACAAAAGAAATAACTAACCTTTATCGTCATTGTGGACAAGCTCTGACAGACTCGCCATGAGTTTAGCCATTCGCTGCGCCGCAGCAATGAGGTCGTTGTCTTTGGCGGACCACTGTCTCACTTCTCTGTGCAAATTATGCGCAGCAACCTAAATGTAAGAAGTTACAATATAAAAGTTTACTTTTACAAGAAAACGACATACCATAATAGGTTGGCTTGGAAGTGGAGCGGTTTTGAACACCTCATCTTCATCGTCAGTTTCCGGTGGTGGAGGTGGTCGCATGGGGGCTCCGTCGAAAGGTAAGGGGGGTCGAGGGGGTGCCTGCTCTGTACGTTTAAAGCATAACATTAAAAAAGTCACAAAAAAGACATCACAACAGTGGCATTCACTTTAAAAGCTTTGATTTCGTAACATTCACAAAAACAAACAATTACCGTCTTCAAGAATATACTCAGGAATAAAACTGTAACGTCCTGTATGCATGTAACAAATCCAAAAGTTAAATTAGCTCAAATTTCTATAAAATGCGATCATCAACGTTCACCTTGTACATCAAACAAACCACAACTACTTCGATATGCATAAAAGCGAACAAGCAACCAGCAGAAGCTGTAGAAAGAACGTGAAAAGTACCATCCAAAATTTACATGCCCCATTCAATGAACAATTCAATACCATCGTTCCCATAACCGTCGTTTCTTTGAACGCACCCTTTAAAGGTTAGAAAATTTAGTAGTTTTCGGGCACTCGTTGAAAGAAACGGAAAGCGTGCATATGCGTGTCGTACACATGCGCTATAAACTGCTAGAGAGGTTTTACCTTGTTCGTGATAATTAGGTGCGAGCTCTTGGCATAGTAAATCGGAATTGTCGCCTAAAAGACGGCAAGTGAAAAATTATTAGACCTCACCAAAGTGATGAAAAAATCCACCGTCACTTTATATCGAAAAGGAAAGTGTAATGTGATGTTTCAGATCAAGTTGGCCGTGGATATCAAAATGTGCTGTTTAAAACAAACGAAAGTCAATTAAGTGTCAACTGTCTTGTGTTATATTAACTACTGCCAACCTGTATGTAAAATATCACTTATCGTTCAAAATATTCGAAATGACAATGGATCTTTACAGTGAAATAAATATATTAAGAGTTCCAAAATTGTAGAGAGTGATTCGCGATAGATACAGTGAGCAGAGAATGCGATTCCATGCTGGATTATGCTTTATAAATCTACACTCTGGTATATCCAAATATTGAGCAGTTCTGTCCTCATGGCCTACTACCATTTTTTTTTATTTTTAATATGAGAGCACATTCGCTAACTAGACAAAAGTACCTTAAAAAAAATNTTAAGAGTTCCAAAATTGTAGAGAGTGATTCGCGATAGATACAGTGAGCAGAGAATGCGATTCCATGCTGGATTATGCTTTATAAATCTACACTCTGGTATATCCTGAGCAATTCTGTCCTCATGGCCTACTACCATTTTTTTTATAATATGAATAATATTTTTAATATGAGAGCGCTTTCGCTAACTAGACAAGAGACCTTAAAAAAAGTCTGCTTACATAGTGTTATAATAGTAAGGTGACACAAAATCAGTAAACCGCTAAAACTAAACTGCTAAAGTATGAACCTCACTGAAAAATGAGATGCACCACTGAAAAAAGACTAGAAACATTATAAGCATTAGCAAAATCACTAATTACGATTGTTTCTATCACTGCCACTGTCACTAACGATATCCTTGTTGTCACCTAAAAGTATGATTGCTTCTGTTATAACTTCATCTCCTGTTTCGAGATCCCACGTTTGTTTTTTATGAGATTCGATGTGAGGCAAATAGATGTTCAATGTGGGTCAAACAATTAAAAATTGTTGATTCCTGATATGTTAAATTCACTCTATTAAGACCATCTTGATTACAACAGATTCTATTTTCAGAAACACACTGGAATAACTAAAATGTGAAAATAGTAAAAGGTTTTTTGCTTGCACGCATATCACATGAAAGGAAACGCCTAAGTGGGAAACTGATAAATGAAACTATGTGGCACTTGTCACCTCACTTTTAGTACACGATAAATAAAGATGGAAATAAACGTTTGTAACAATAGAACACTAGAAATGCGCGCGCGCGCGTAGACTAAACATATCATCGGAACACTATGCGATATGAAGGGCACATTACAGTAGTTTTATTGATGTATGAGACTTACTGCCTACTATTTTGGAACTNGTTTGTTTTTTATGAGATTCGATGTGAGGCAAATAGATGTTCAATGGGGGTCAAACAATTAAAAATTGTTGATTCCTAATATGTTAAATTCACTCTATTAAGACCATCTTGATTACAACAGATTCTATTTTCAGAAACACACTGGAATAACTAAAATGTGAAAATAGTAAAAGGTTTTTTTGCTTGCACGCATATGACATGAAAGGAAACGCCTAAGTGGGAAACTGATAAATGAAACTATGTGGCACTTGTCACCTCACTTTTAGTACACGATAAATAAAGATGGAAATAAACGTTTGTAACAATAGAACACTAGAAATGCGCGCGCGCGCGTAGACTAAACATATCATCGGAACACTATGCGATATGAAGGGCACATTACAGTAGTTTTATTGATGTATGAGACTTACTGCCTACTATTTTGGAACTCTGACACAAGCAGGAAGTGAACAAAGAGAGGGATCAATGAATGAAAAGAAATGAAAAATTTTGCAGATAAAATAAAAGATAACTGTAAAAATGTAGCTGGAAAAAGTGTATACATGTAAAAAACAAAGATTTTCTCCAGAAATTTGAAACAAAACATCGTTTGAGGACAAAACCTTTGTTTTTTCGTACCGTCACCTAAAGAACCCGACATATAAGTAAAAGTGAAAAAAAATCGACAAGCTTGAAATATTAGCGTTATACCTCTGGCCCACTTCGGCAGGGGGCTGACGCGCCCTTGCAGGTGTTGGCTGGGGCTGAGTGCCCCCGTCTCCCTGCCCGGCGTCGGTGTATTTCTCAACGGCTCGCCAACTACAATATTAGCATAATACAGAGGCGTTAGACTAGGCGGCAGAAAACTGATTATGTACAGATTTACTTACAGCAGGGGCCGGTGAGGGAAAACTTCGTTTTATCGAGTTAATTTTTTTTTTAACTGCAAGAGAATTGACCTCCTTTCTAAATACATAAAACGGTACTTATTCTTTTTTTAAACATATTCGTACGAATCCATAAAATAATAATTACTTCTCGTCTTTCTGAGTTATGTCCCGATTATAAAAAAAAAAATTATCAACCTTAGACGGAAAAAGGTAATTACAGCATGAATACTAAAATTCCTCTTTTTAAAACAATAAAAGAGGCCAATTCTCCCTACAACTGTCTCTGTTCATCACGGAGTTGTACCCTTCACCGCCTCTTTATCGTTATTGTTTCTAAAAGCCCCAAAAATGTACCTTTATCGACAAAGTAAGTGTTTGCAGTTGGCTCTGAAAAAGACATTTGGACCATCATTAGTAAAACTAGAAGATTAGTGTAAAAATTAACTTTTTATATTCGTATTTACAAGTGCGATGTTCGTATGAAGCTACAAAGATGATAAAATAGTGGCTTACCCAAGTTCAAAGTATTGAAGTTCGGTAAAGGCGGGTGCTCCGGGCTGATGTGTACGGCATCCCTGACTTGGCCGACGGCGTTCAGCAACTGTTGAGAAAGAAGAAACCGAAAAGAAAATCGTAAGAAAAATGAATATCGAATGAAATAAAAATTTTAAAAATGTATGGTTTACGGGCTGTCAAAAACTTACCGCTTTATTGGATTCTCTCCATCTGGACACTGCATTATGATCAGACGGGTTAACAGCTACAGCTTTGGCATCCTGTACCATCGGCGGTACACCTATGAACATTTTTGTCACAATTTTAATTTGTAGATAATTTCAGCCCAAGGTGGTGAGATACAAAGGTGACCCTATATGCCTACAGTCTGTTTCATGTTTTCCGAAACTTGCAAATGAAGTTACTTTGGACTATGGTACGTTTGGACTAATTATCACATTGTGGCCTCAAAATTACTCGTCTAATAATATTTGTGCATCTTCATTTATGTAACAAAAGCAGTAAAATATTTCAGTCAACAGTAATTATTCAAATGGGTTTTCAAGTAGGTTTAGCATCACCATAAAGTCGTCGAGAGACTAGTGGCTTTTGTCACCGAGAGCAATAAATTTGCAAAGCCGCTCTTCGGAGAAGGCCTCATGAAATTTAGCAATGTTTTTGAACAAGTAGACTTAGATCGTCGGGGCCAAGTGTTAGGCATCCAGTATTGGACTAACTGCGTCGGTACAGCCCATGGTGAAGGGAAAAATCAATATTTCTAATAATGAACGAAATACATTCGAAAAGACGTAGGAATTCCAAGATATTTAAATAAGTTGTTAGAATGTTGTGAGGAAAATAATAATAGATCAAATAGCTGGTTTTTAGGCAGATTTTCCAACCTATAAGAATAGTTCAAATGAAATTGATTAATCCACCCTGTGTTGCTATACGTCACAAGAGGAAGGTGTAGGGTTACTTGTAAGTTCAGTTTAACCACAAAATTATCCACACAATTGTAAATTCAGACAATTAGGTATTAACATGGTATAGTTAAGCCATTTCAACCCCCGATATTCAGGATGCCCACCAAAAACATAAGAACAGAAACTTCTGGACCCAAGAAATGGGCGTGTCAAAGCGAGGTGTCGAATTCAGGAGATCTTCGAAAAAAAGGCAGTTTCTCCTTGGATTCCACACTGGGCAGTTTTCTTAATTTTAGAGTAACGGGTTAATTTAATAACGGATAAAGTCTTTCCAAATTTTGTTATGAATATAATTTTGTGCATAGAAAACTACAAAGTTTAGTATTTATCACCTCTTTGAATTTGTTTATGTTCAGTTTAATGAAATAACTAGTTTTGTTAAACAATAAAATTCCAAAAAATTGACATCATGCAATCTAACAACAATGCAACGGAATGACAGTGGTACGCTGCTAGCAGAATGATCAGATGTTCGACAGTTTAACATTCGTGCTTGTCACTTGTCACAAGATTTTTGTTTCGAACATTTCAAAATTACTAAAATTTAGACTCTCACAAGAGTATCTTGTTTCAAAATTCCCGGCAATAAAATACACCCTTATCATAGAATTAAATGATAAACGGAATTTATGCTTAGTATGGTACAGATGTGGACCAATGCTATTAAAAACTAACAGTTTACTTTGAGAAACCTTTGTCGAGATTTAATTACATTGTCGAGACTACCTTCTATTTTATAACCTTGGATTGTTTAACTAACATAATTGCGCCCATTAATTAAAAAAATAAACACTAAATCCACTTACTGCCTTGTAAAGAGTCGAACGCTCTGTTAACATCGTCAATGAAATTGGGATCTTCGGAATTATCACTTTCTTGCTTCGCTACCAGAAGGACCCGGTTGGCCAGCCTGGCGATGGCAGAGGTATTATCCACCATTTTCTGAGGCTGCTTGTTCTTTATAGCCTCCTCGCACAAGAAAGTGTGTTTCTTCATTTGTTCCTCTAAAAACATCAATATGAGTGAAATCAGGTTCATAAACCGGTAGAGAAAGTTACCAGAAGCTTTGATAAAATCTGCCGAGTCAGTGGCTTCGTCACACAGATTTCTAACCTTGGTTAGGGTGTCCGCATATTGCTGGCGGAGATTCTCGAAATGTTCGTCAGCCGCTTTGGACGACGGGTAATTCATACGGATGCTTCCCGCAGATATTAACTGAGGCGTCAGACTGTCCACTTGGTTTGCTGCACTCTGAAGAGCCTCGGCTAATTTTTTATTGCCACCGCTTCCACCTTAACAAGAAAAGAAGCGATCACCTTCGATATTAGTAAAAATGTGGCAACTTACCGGCAGCTACCATTTTTGCCGTCTTGACAGCTCTGGTGGAAAACTGCTGCAGATGTGCCGCTTTATCGGCGAAATTCTGGTCTCTATTCGGCGTTCCCTCAGGTGCCAGCACCGCCTCTGTGAATTGTTTCAGAGGAGAGACGATATCGATAAAATCTTCAACGACTCGGTTGACTACGGCCTGATTGATCTTCTCTTTCAGTTCATGCAGTTTTTGAGAGAGCCTCCTAGCTATTTCTTGGGCTTGGGGCGTGTTGCCCTTGCCCTGGGCGCAAAGGTCCCCGAGTTGTCGTGACAGAGAGTCTACTTCGTCGCACAATTGAAGGATCTCTGCTTTTTGAATCCCTGGAAGTCCATCTGCGACCTTTCTCCCCTCTTCAACAATAGCGTTGATAGCTCGACGACCTAGCCCTTTGTCGTCTTGACCGGGATTCGATAACCATTTCCGTGCCTGATCTAGCCTAGAAACAATTTTTTAGGAATAAAACCACAAGTGCATTCTAATACTTACCTTCCTTGGACAGTATGTGCGGTTTGCTGTAAACCGGCCTTATCTACAGCCAGAACGGCGCTCATAACGGCTTGCTGAAGGTCGCCCAACTTCTCCCTAATGCCCCTGGCTAAAGATTCGGCTTGAGGAGTTGCACCTTTGCCTTCTTGGCGCAGTTCGCACAAGGCATCGGTCATCGTTGTCAGATCGGAACAGACTTTGTTGATCGTATTGGCATCTTGCGGAAGACATCTGGGACACAAAAAGTTGAATTTAAAAGTCGTCACTTTTTTAATATTTAGATTATACAGGGCATCCCATTTACAAAAATAAATGTCTCAAATAACAGCCGCACTAAACGAGTTTCTCCACATTTTGAAATTCTTTTCTATACACAGGGTGTTAGTTAACTTCAATTTTTCATTGAAGTTATGGCCTACTTTCTTTATTAATGTTATTTAATGTTTCTTTTTTTTTTAATTTACATTTGCGGCATCTTTGAAAGTTTACAGATTTGCTAACTACCGCTCAGTTTCATACAGTTGGTTTTAAATGTAACAGGCAACACTGATAATCGCGCACATATAACCAAATTTGAGAGATGCCCAGTGATGGCGTAGACAAAAGTGTAAGTGCAGTTTAAGAAACGACCATTTATTTAATTTGTAAAAAATATATTTCAGTTTATTATTCTGGGAAAACATACTGTTACTCCTAAAAAATTGACCCCCCCCCCACTTAAAGTTACACTCCAAAAAATGGAGACAACGTCAAGAAGGAATGTGACACATAAATAATTAATTTGAGACCGAAATCTATAAGTGAACACCTTATAAATTTATAGAAATTTTTTTAAATCACAATGAAATGATTATAAAGAAGCATTCTTTGTCAAAATTTAAGAATATAGAACAAATTTTTTGAAAATGATGTATCACCCTGTATATTTTTGCCGATTAGCATTAATCTCACTGTTTGAACTCTTGTTAGATTTTGGAACAAATTTAAACTTTAACATTCTGCTCACAACTTTTAATTGGACTTGCAATTCTCATCCAAAATATTTAATGTTGACAACTGTTATGTATGATGAAAACTCGCCGTTATTCTTTGCGGATACCACGAAGTTTTTATAGTAGTTTTTATAGTTCTCAACTAGCATAAGAACCCCCGTTTATCTGTAAAACGATATAGTATGTTTGCGGCTTTACCAATAAATACAGTGCTGTTAGTAAGGTGCGAGTTTTACTTCCTGAAAACAGGACATGTGTTCCTAGCACATCTGTTAAAACAATGAATATGGTGAAATTACAATGTAAATAAGGTCTGGAAGCCACGAACTAAATTTATAATAAAAAAACTTACCGTTCAGCAACTTTCTGGGCAGCCTCGATAATTTGGCGAAGGGACTTTTCACCAACACCCCCACGGACGGCGTTTGGATCCTACAATAGTGAGTTCAGCGATAAAATTTATAAAATTATTTTCAATAATTTTATTTACTTACAAGTAACCAGTCATTGGCAGCGTTTATCTTATTGGCGATGGCGTTCTGCAATTTCTTCAGCACTGTCAAATTGTCTAACTCAGACTGTTCTTCGTCGTAGCTAGTCAACTGCAACACCCTTATAATTTCGTTGATTTCATCCGTCATCCTCTGCGCCAGGTAATTTCTGTTTTCCGCAGCCTCTTCCGCACCCTTACCGCCCTGAGACACGATGTGGATGTAGATTTTCATCGAACAGATCAGAATAGGCGCCAAAGTCTTGACCTGCTCCAAACACCTCACTAAAATTTCCGAATGAACCTAAAAATACATCAATTGTCGTCATCTTGTCGTTAAGCTTTGTTATATATCGCACCTGATGGGTAAGTTCCTTCTCCCTAGCGCTGACTTCCCTGGACACTTTACTAAGACAAGGGCTCAAGTCCCTCAAGAATTGGACTAGTTCGTCCAAAGTTTCAATGACTTCCGCAACCGCGAGATAGTCTAGGACCCTGTGGCACTCACGGATGATTTTCCTTACTTCGGATTCATCAAAACACAACAACAGAGCGGACGTGGCCTACAATTTGATTAAGAATTTAAGTGATAAATGTTTTTCACATAAAACATGTATTTCTAACTTGTAATATGCCGCCACTGCCTTCGATCAACCTCTTTCTAGCCGGTGACGAAAAGGGGTCATCTTTAAGCATTTGGCTGGCCTCTTCCAGAAGCTTGGACGATCTCTCGACTCGCACCAGGGCAGCTGGCATGTCTTGTCGAAGGATCGGATCATCAGAACTGTTGATGGTGTCTCTACCGACCTAAAAAGAGTCTCTACAGGTGGGAAAACTTTATAGTTGGAAAATTACCTTAACCAAGTTCGAAACAGCGTTACTAACCGACCGGACCGGCTGTTGCAGGTCCGGCATGGGAATGCCCTCTTCAGCTTCCTCATGGAGGATTACCAATTTGGATACCTGGTGAAAAAAAGATATGATTTTTCAAGGCAAATTATTCTACGTTTAAATTATTTAACAATTAGTTGGCAATATCAGAATATTTACTTGATTCTTGTTCATTTAGTTAATGGTCTGTCCGTTTGTCTGTCCGTGAGTAAATATTAAGTGCTATTAATTATATTATTAGAACAATAATTGGAATAGACATTAAATAGTTAACCTAAACATTACTGCAGCATTAACAACTTTTTTGCTGATATCCCAATAACTGAAATTTGTAAGGAAAGTTTTAATTTTTAATTATCAATAGTAGTTAATTTTCAAAAAAAAAGGTGTGTAACCAAAAAATTACTGTTAACTAATAATTTCACTGTTAGCTCAAAAAGTTTCTAACAGTTACTATTAAGGTATTCTTAAATTGTCCATTTACCAAATTGGTTACATAAAAATTAACGCTCCGCCGACTTTTTTCGGCAGTTAAAATGAAGACCTATCCAAAAAATTATTCCAAGACGGAATCTAAATGTTGTGGAACCAGTCTTGCATAATAATGAATTAACGACATAAAACAAGCTAAATTTGTAATATTTTTTTATTGGCCAGACCTCAAATACTCATTGATCCGTTCCTTTCACCATTTAAATAGGCGCGTATAATTAGTATACAGTAGGTGTCGGCGTGCTATAATTTCTCAAGCATTATCATAAAAGTGGGCATAAAATATTCATTGGAACAGATTTTGTAAACAATTCGGCTCATAACCTTATTTGGCCTGGTAAAAAACGGGCCGACAGCTGCCTTTGGGCCGATTTTCCAAATGAAAACCAATCGATTTTATAACTCGTAAAAATGTTTGCGCCGCTCCAGAGTTAAAAATAAGAAATGAATCAAGTCGGTTCGTCCCAAATGTCAAAACAATCTGGGAATTGCATGGCACGATGTACTTTTGTTCTCTAGCCAAAGGCAACGCCTACTTTCGGGGAACTTAAATTTGCAAAACACAGGATACAGGATGTGACTGTTCATCAGTTAATGATAAGAAATTATTAAACGATAACGAATTCTTGAAATGATTTTAAAAAATTTCCGTTTCGGCTGTTAAGGCCTGAACGGAGAATTGAAACACCCGGTCTGGTAAAGAATAAATATGAATCAAAACAATGAGTAACAGAGTTATAAATATTAATAAATAAATCCTGTTACCTGTTGTGCAACGGGGTCCAAAATAGACTCGATTGTCTTGGTGTGGAAAACTGGCATTTTTTCGAAATTTAAAAAAACAGTAACAATGAAATATTCAACAAATCTAACACTATAACGAGCACAACTACTTGGTTTCTAAGACGGACTGGATATTTAAAACTTAATTACAAGACTTTTATGGAGACATTTACAACGGCAGCGATAATAAACAAGAAAAATGAAAAGAAGTTAAAAATAGATCTTAACCTACCTTAAGACAAGGCCATCTTACTTTTATCTCCTCAACTAATCACCGGGGCGGGAAATTTGATTCACAGGAAACATGAGAATAATAATTATCGAAAGGAACCGTTTTTATATTTCTTCCCGGAATTAGAGAATATTTTACCACACAACTGCGAAAGTGATAACTGTTTACGAATTGCGCTTTTATCTACTACAAATTCCGAGGCTATTATTTTTGTAAGATTATTTCTCTTATTTCCTCTCATCCCTTATCTACAGGGCTTCCGTTTGGTCCGTATCAGCTTAGATTTGAATTCAGGCGGTGGCAAACAGGGACCATTATTGAATGCCCTACACACGATTCGAAATTATTCTGCGATTTGTGCCAGTTAACGAAAATGAAAAACGTTTTGATCTACATGATCCTACTTTTGAGTCTCTTGGACGAAACCTTTTCGGGATTGAGCAGGGTACCTCGTAAGTTAACCGTATTTATTTTTTTTTATCGCTTCAGGTAAATATAAACCGAAATAAAAATATATTTATTCGGTACAGGATGTGATTATATTCTACGCTTTATTTTTATCGTATCGCTTTCTAGCAAATGTGAAGTATGTCTCAAAATTTATTATATTAAAAAGAAATTAGTTTATAATAATTTATTTTTTTAGTTATATGTTTCAATTCCATAATTATATTTTTAGTTCCGAACTGTCCCAATTTGTCAATAAAAAATGGAAAAGTGAAGAAACGTCAAAGGGGTAGATTTGTGAAGTTCATTTGTAACCCCGGCTTCTTGTTAGCAGGGGAAAAATTTAGCACGTGTAGTTTTGGAGGAAGATGGGACCCTTTGCCTCCGAAATGTGTTAGTAAGTAGCCAAAAAGTAGAAGATTCAGCAATATTTAAATATTTATCGCCAAAGATTCCAATTTTTTTAATGCGATCGGTTTCCTTAAATTCCTTTTACATTATTCACATTCAATAATGATATACTACATTTAAAATTGTACAGATGTCGCTAGTGTTTCCCTCTAAAAATGTTTGAATTATAGTCATTTTTTGAAGATTTTAATAGCCATTTCCACCAACTTTCGATTAAACAAATTATATTCTTAACTAGAGAACGAATAAGATCCTGAAATGATTTTTCACAACAAAAATTCAGAAGTCAGAAATGAAAGACGTTTGCAACAGCGCAAATTTTAGACAAACTTTCTTGTGGATGCCCTGATTCGTAGAAATTTTGAATTTTTGACAACCTAAAGTTAGGGAGTCCAGAAGAGTAAAGATAGGTGGAAATCAAAAAGGTTACTTAACGTAAGTTATTCTTTCCGTATAGCTAAAACAGTTGGTGGAAACAGCTTAAGCAAATTATTCTTGGCAGTTATAAAAAACCAAATTAATATTTTTATTTTATCTAAATAAGATGGTGTTCATAAAATAATTATTTCTAATCTCTAAATTTTGGCCACGTAATTTTTTACAAGAAGGTGATGATTAAAATATCGACTAACGCCTATAAATATACACAAATAGTGTTATCTTGTAACCACTGGACATCCTGACTTAATTAGATAAAAACGAGTAACTAAAAGATAGGTAGAGATAAGGATTGCATAATAATTTTTGTTGGAAGATACGTTTTAAATTAAAAACCAGGTATGTTGAATAATAAATACGGTTATTACATATTTTGTTCGAAGGACCCACTTGCTTAAACAAAGTGAACCCTCCTGCCAATGGCCTCATTTACCCCACACATAATGGAGCTGTCGCGCATGTTTATTGTAAAGCTGGATATCACATCAATGGGCCTCAGGAGGTGCATTGCGATGGAAGAAAATGGGACAACCAAATGCCTGTATGTCTACGTAAGTATATCTTTCGTACTTCCTAAAACTGCGTTTAAAAAATTTACTATATATTATTCAGTTGCAAATACAAAACCTAAACTGTTCTGCGACTTCGAAACGGAGGACATTTGCGGCTGGAGCCACGACCTCAACCATGATTTTGACTGGCGAAGGGAAAGCTACAAGACTCCAAGTGGTTCGATAGGAACCGGACCCAGTTTTGACCACACTAAAGGACCAGGACGGGACGGTAACTAGTATTTTTATTAAATGCTAATTTCGTTGAATTTGTAAGTGATTTTTGTTTGTAAGCAGGCTACTACATGTACATCGAGTCATCAGGAAGGAACGAAAACGATACGGCCAGACTCATTTCCCCTATTTTCGAAAAAACTGACACCGACACCTGTTTGGAATTTTTCTACCACATGTTCGGAGCTACGACTGGCTCTTTGAGAGTTTATGTCAAAACGGTTGGGGAAAGTTGGGAGTTGGACCCCAACAGTGCTATTTTTTCCAAGAAAGGAAATCAAGGCGACAAGTGGTTCAGGTCGTATCATCCCTTGGGCGTTATATCAGACGAATATCAGGTAAATAAAAAAATGTTTGTTTAATTAATTGATTTAAAAAAAATTTTTCTTAATTCTAGATTATCATAGAAGGTGTCAGGGGTCATTCTTATGTTAGCGACATTGCAATAGATGACGTCAAAGTAATAGAAAATTGTGTTTATGAAGAAATAACGACCACGACGTGAGTAATTTTGTTACGAAAACTGAAAGAAAGAATTGATAGATTTTTTATTGCACTTTTAGGGAAACGGAGCATGGTACGGAAGCATTTTTAACATTAGACTCCTGTGAAAATAAATGTGGACGCACAGATAATGGAAATGAATCTCTTCGCATTACTTGCGACTGCGATGAAGATTGTTACGACAATAACCGATGTTGTCCCGATTACTTTGATTTTTGCGTATCAGGTAAGCATAAAAATGACACGCTTTAAGCTGTTACAATTTTTTTTTTTTTTACTATCAACGTCAAAAACAATTTATTCTTCCACTTCAGTCAATCGAATAAATAAAATTAAAGTTACTCATTTACTTTTTTTTTTTGGTAAATTTATAGTTGTGGTGTCATTTGAATGTATGTCAAGGTGTGGCTATAAAATAATGACTAATTTTTTTTAGCTGTTTACTTGTTGCCTCAGAAATAACTAGCAGGATGAGATATTATTCTGTTTTCTTTTCTCCTCCTACCGTCCCAATTTCAAGGTCATGTGATGTTCATATAAGGCATATCGTGTAGGTATCTGAGCGGTGCTGTACCCTTGTGTTTGATTGGTTTAAAAAATTTAACGTTTCTGACGAAGCATGGGGTTCCCACCCCACTCACCTGACCTAGTCCCGTGTGATTCTTTTCTGTGCTCTTTTCTATTCAATTTGTGAAGAAAAAAGTGTCGAAGCTGATGAACGATCTCTTAGAAAAAGACCTGCTGCATTGCTTCCAAAGTGGAAGACACCTATTTGGTAGTGAGAGATTGGGTTAGGGATTACATTGAAGGGGATAACAAGTCTATTAAGTAATTTGAGTATGTTCGTGAGTGAGGTGGTTGATGATGTTCCAACCAAATGTCCAAGAGTTGCTTTGTGGCATTGGCTGTGTGGGGACCTGTACTGTCGTGCAACAAGCACACTCTCTTCAGTAACATTTCCCTTCTTTTGTTATGTATCGCTCTCCGTAGTGTTTTCAGGGCTTCACAGTACCGCGCAACATTAATTGTTTCTAAATGCGGCAAAGAGTCAATGGGGAGAATCCCTTTACGGTCCCAAAACACAGTTGCCATGACTTTTCAGGCTGATACAACCGTTGTGAATTGTTTTCCCAATCGTAATGACGTACGTTGCCACTGCATTGATTGTATTTTCGTCTCAGGAGTGTATGTAGTGAGCCGCTCACATTTCATTGTATTTCAACAAGCCATTGCAACAAAAGGTTCTCAACTGACAACAAAAACCACAGAGTATGAGTCTCAGTACTCTTACTTTGTGGATATGGCTCCTATATTGTAAAAATCACAATTATTTTGTAAATGTTACTTTAAAATCAGTGACTTTGGTAGTAAAACAAGAAATTATTTATGCTATTTATATCTGTTCATAAATTCGTCATGAATGTAGAAAAGTAGTACTTTAGAAGCTTGTTGCGCATACAATTATTTGCAGGGTTTGTTACAGGAACGACTGACGACTATCTATCAACCACGGACATGCCGAATGAAGTAATCGTGACGACTTTGCAGGCTTCTCGTGCTTCAACGGAGGCTCCAATCATGCCTGCCAAAAATCGACCTACTACGAGTGTACCTGAAATAAGTATCTCGACCACATCCACCACCAGGACAAAACCTACTACCACTAGGGCTACTACAACCACTACTAAAGCACCAACTCGTCCGCATTGGCAATCAACAGTGAAGACAACCATTGCACCAAAAACCACAAAGAAAATAATCAACGTTACTCGTCCAATGCTACATTTTCTAACCCAGCCAACCCAGCCTGTGATCGTGCAAAAGGTCGTACCCTCTATCCCAGTAAAACCAAGGAACAGAACGCAGATAATCAACATAAAACCGAATAAAGTGGATAACACTAAAGAGGTCAACAGTAACGACGTCCTGGATGTGCCGCTTCAGACAAACAGCGATGAGGAACTGTTGCTGACGTCACCTTTCCCCGACAAGACCGTGAAGGTGAGTTGGCCACCTCGAGATCCCCAAGACCCCCTCGATTCGCCTTTCTTAGGGAATTTCAGCGAAAAAGACAAATTTCTGAGCATGAGACCACCTGCTTCGACTGCTGGATACAACGTGGTGTTAGTCGTCATCAGTGTGGTAGGCCTTACAATTCTGACCACCGTTATTGCCGTTATTCTAGTTAGGAGGTTCAGGAACAGGCACAGACGGATGGCATCTTGCAATGGGGACAGTCAGAGCGACGTCAGGTTCTTGACAAGCGATGAAGTGCTGGATTTTTCTTTGGATAAGAATTACGATAGCTTGTGATTTTTCATTGCCAAAGTAGATGTAAGTTAGGCGATAAGAAGGAAATATTGTACAATTTAGTGCCAAGTTCATGTTTTTGCACACGTTTTTAATAAATATTTAAGTAGATTTCATTATTTCTTTCAAAACGGAGTGATATTTAACTCAGAAAAAATATATATATTTGACATATTGAAAAACTAAAACAATTTTGTTGACAAAAAAAATTATATTTTGTTTGAATTATTCAGGGTGTAACTTTGAATAAAGATCGTATTGATATGGAGGCTACTTTTGATCTTCATAAACACAAGTTTGTTTTCTCAAATTCCATCTTGAAAAAGTTTTTTTAACTACTTTTTTGTGATTTATCCATCAAATCTGATCTTTATTGATTCATATAAATGTTATTTCATAATATCACATAGAGATTTAACAATGAAGACACACAAACACACCATACGAAAAACTAATTCTTCACATAGAAAGTTACGAAATTGACTAGTGCATTATAAACATAAACCCGTTATAAAACGATAAACATCACGTCAGCTTAATTAATTCAAGCCTTGAATTAACACAGTTACTACTACGAACACGAACTGTGATTAGTGCGATTTAGCAGACGATAAAGTAATGAACACACTGTATATATTACTAAATAGAACTCTGCGCTGTGGTTTATTTCGTTGTTGAGTTCTGGCACTGCCGGTTAGATGGCGCCAGGTGCGCCAATTTAAAAAAAATTTGGACTTGACATTTGACGTTGAGTATTACGTCATATGGTCAATATGGACGACGTGTAAGTTTAAAGTTTATCCGTTTACAACAATAGTACAGCAGTAATTGTTAAAAATGGGTGATAGTGTTAATTCCAAGTCGAATTCCTCGCAAAATGATCCGGTGATGAAGGGGTGGCTCTTCAAATGGACGAATTACCTGAAAGGTTACCAGAGGAGGTGGTTCGTTCTCCAAAATGGGCATCTGTCTTACTACAGGTTTGTTTATTGCTTTATTATTGAAAAAAAGTAACATTGTGTTCATGTAGATTGCTTAGATCTCGACCATCACGTCAGTTAGGAACTAATTTTTGCGGTAGTAGGCTCAATTTTAGATACATTAATAGTTATAGAAATATATATTATTGTTAACTAATGCATAACATATACTTATTGTATATATCTTTGGGTGCTGTGAAAGCACTATGTAGCGTGATTTTACGTGGATCTGGTAGCTTGTGACAAGAATACAATCTTAAAATAGTATATAGCTCCGGCTGCATTTCTTATTTTACAAATTTTGGCATACATATAATATACAAGAACCATTGTACCAAGTCTGTACAAGTGGCATCTTCCGTAATACGCTTTACTACAAACAGAACCTCTGATTGCCTTGTATTTTTGAATCGCCTCATTACATACATAGTTAAATAAAAAGCCATTGCTTTGAAGAGTTGTAAAGATATGACCCAAGTATTAATCTGGATATATCTAATCTCATACAAGCTAGATAAATTTGCACTTTTGATGCCACCCTATATGACAAAAAAATAATTTAATTTCGCAGATAACGTAAGTACACGTATCGCCAGTTGTCGTTGACACCTTTTCATTATCACCATCACTGTTTTGAAGTTTTATTTCTGTTGTAACGATAATTACTTACAAGCATTTGCACTTCTATAAAAACATGCTAATGATGTAAATAATAAGTAATAACCCAGTTTATAGATATTAAATTCTAAATCAGACTTGTTTTTACCGGTTCTCTTTGAAATTTCCAAAACTCAGAACTACTAAAATGTAATATTTATACTTAAAAAAATGAAATCACGAATTTATATAAAAGACAAAAAAATATATGAATTTATTACCCACAGTTTTCACACCGCAAATCATAACATAAATAATGACTACTGTATTATTTAGCTTATAAAACTAGTGTTATTATATCCGCTAAACATACATGTAAATATACAGTGTGGTCCTCTAAGAACAGAATACATTTTTTTGGGGGCGCAAAATTCGGGTGATTAATTTTTTTTTGTATTCTAGATGTACCTACTGAACAATGATAATCCATGGCCTGTTGTTATTTTTTAACTATCTTTGAGAAAATTGCTTTAGGATTTTTTTATAAAAAATCTGGCTTAATCAGTGCCATTAAAAACCCTTTTATCGTCAGTTCATAATGGAGAAATTTTTTTTATACGGGCTTAAAACTTTTGTGAAGTTTCCATTTCAGTAAAAAAAATCTAGAAGGCTTTGATTTAAAAACGCCATACACAAAATGATTAATATAATCGGTAAAAGTGAGCTTACCCACAAAATATACAAGTCCTTGTGGGTACTTAATTTTGTGGGTATAAGTTATTATCTTATATTTGATGATGCAGTCTTGAAGACAAATAACAAATACTCACAATCAGAAACAATATAAATAAATTAATAAAAAAATAAGAATAATATGGGACCCAAATTGGGAATTGGGAAATTGTGGAACATTTTCTATGGCGAAATGTAGGAAAAAACGACCTCGAAATTTTGATATCTGACCATCAATTGTCTGTCGCTTAAGTTTAATTGACGCCTCTAAAAAATTTCTAATTTCAAAAGGAGTATGTTATGGTCAATTTGGTCAAATAATGTCTACCTTTCTATTCTTGAATACCTCGAAAAACATATTCATTTGCCGGAAACCATTTTGACGTGACGGAATAAATTTTCTTTCGAAATAGTGAATTCTGCTATAGTTTCAAAAATGTTTGAGAAATTACACAATAAAAAAATGCTTCTATACTTGAATATACATACATATAATTATTATGATTTCCCTTTTTCCGTATAGGACGAATGTCTTCTTCCAGTAAGATGTCAAGACAGAATGTAAGACACGATTAACTTTTAGATCGTTTAACATTTTGTAGAACATCTTCATTATGTGATATTTTGTAACAAATAACAAATGTGCTGATAAATTACTAGATATTCAATAAAAACACTCATGAGTCAAATAGTTGCGATTATATGGACACACTGTTGAAATAATCACCAAAACCATTAACATACCTGTGAAGGATTTGAATACAATACAACAATACAGAAGGTATTCCTTTCATTCTTTTTGAATGAAGAATGAAGTTCAAAATTTTTTTGGTATTGCTAGATAATAATCGCTCAGAATCGTTTATAAAAGGTCTATAGGCCTCAGTAATAAGTCGTTTGGATACTTTGATAAATATAAGAGAACAGTTTTATGTTCTTGTTCATGTTCATATACATAGGATTTCAGTCTGATGGAAATAATAACTCTCCTGTGAACCAAAGAGGATAATAATGATAGCGATAAATGTATGAAAACGTATACTTTGGCGATAACATATTAGTTTATACATGTTTACAAAAGGTTCCCCTTTATTTTCAGGGGTACATTCGTCCATCAAAACAAAAATTAAAAACCCTGTCGTTTATCTCCGCACTGCGCCCGTCGAATAAAATAAATCATTTCGGCCCCGTGAATCAAGAGCGCCCCGACAAATGTGTGCCCGACAATTTTCGACCTCGTTTCCAGCCGGATCGATTGCTAGCGTGACCCCCGGGGCGTACGTATCCTATTTGCTTGGTTTTGTTGCGGCATGTGCTGACAAAAAGATAAGGGGGCTTTAATAATTTCTGAAATTCCCTAACGACGTTGTTCGGGGCTCTAATTATTAGGGGGATGAGCACAGGGCCGGGGTTCACATGATTCCGTAGCTGAATCCAGGAGTCATCTTAGAAGAGGTGCTCGGTGCTCTCCTCTATGTATCTTTCTGCCACAAACGCACTTTGCTGTTTCTTCCCATTGTATTTATATCAACGGACTGAACGGTACATCGACCATTTCTACAGTATTATCGTCTTTCATCACATTCCCTTATCGTTTCGGAGTTTCGGACCCCACGTTAGGCGCTATGTCGCTGTCCACCATCATTCTCTCGGGAATTACCTCCAATCTGGTGAGAATCAGAATTTTTTCCTTTTACCTTTTAGCTTCGTGTGTATTATCTGATGCCTGTTGAGTATTTGATTCGTAATTAGTTGTATATAATTTGAAAGACTAGTACTACACGTACTGCTCTGGTATCCATCTCTGGTTATTGAACGACGAAGTACCAGGGTCGACGATCGATCACAGTTATCGATGAGTCCGCAGAGGGCTTGTAGACAGTTGGCCTCTTCGAATTTTACCCATCTTTGGATTGCTGTACTTTTTTATTTTTGCATTTTACGGAAAAAAAACACATTTGATGAAAAGTTTTGCTTGTATTTAAAATGAGGTTGCCATGGAGAAAGATTACATTTTATGTACGGGGCCTCCAGAAAATTAAAAGTTATGAAAATGCGGTAAGAGTAAACTACCTTTAATTTTACTTTTCGAAAAAGTGGCAGTAGGAAAAGTTATTCAGAATTAAAGTTAGGAAAGAATGCCTAATTGTGGCAAAATTGGCCCACAGTAATTATTTAAAGTACTAGTTTTAGTTACTGGTATTTTAACTAGTAAACATATACCTGTCCTCTACAGGGTTAGTCATAAGTATGGAAACCCCCAAAAATCTCAGCGGGAAAGCATTTTTGGGATGAACAAAAGTCTCAACATTTTTCACGACGCATACGATGGTAACTTTGACCTTGAGGTCAAGATTTAAGGTTATATCAAGGTCAAGTCGTTTTTTTAAAATGGTGACCCCTCTTTTCGACCCTGGAAAAGGAAAGAGCAGAAAATTCTGCATCCGAATAAGACATTGACCGTTACCTCAAGGTCAGTTCAAGGCCAAATGTTCATTTTTACTGTAATTTTTTATTTTTAACTACTGAATCAGAGGGAGTGACAGTCTTTGAGTAGATACCTGATGATACTCCCTAGTGACCTTGATCTTGAGATCCAGGTCGAATGAACATGTCACGATCATATCGGTTTTTGGAGTAGCGACCCGTTATTTCGCCGATAGAAATAAGAGAGCGTAGAATCCTACATGTTATTATGATCTTAAACGTGACCTTAAGGTCAATGGTCAAGGGCAGGTAGAGGTGATTATTCCAGTTGTCATTTTTTATTTTCGACGATGGAATAAAAGGGACTCACAATTTTTTAGTGATATCAAGATCAAGGCCACTAAGGAGTACCATCGCGTATCTACTCAAAGTCTATCACTCCCTCTGATTTCGTAGTTAAAAATAAAAAATTACAGCAAAAATCAACATTTGACCTTGAACTCACCTTGACCATTGACCTTGAGGTCACGGTCAATGTCACATTTGGATGCAGAATTTTCTGCTCTATGCATTTCCGAGGTTGAAAAGGATGGTCGCCATTTAAAAAAACAGACTTGATCTTGATATGACCTTGATGCGGAGTGAAAAATACTGAGACTTTTGCCCTCACCTTTTATCCCAAAATTGCTTTTCGGCTTCGATTTGTGGGGGTTTCCATACTTTTGACTAACCCTGCATATCGCCTGCAGTAAGCTAACATTATGGTTTATCTCTCTAAGGTATGTCAATTTCCATTGAATAAATATTGCAGTATAATGAAGAACTTGACTTAATTTTCTATAGCTTTAGTTGCATTATCTCTAATGTTTTTGGTGTAGCCATTTTATAAAATAACCGGCACACAGTGGACTATAATCAATAAATGTCAAAGTATTTAACAATTACTAAATAAATGATTTAAAATTATTTTTCTTTAGAAAAAAACCTGTTTTCATGAAAAATAAAATCTAGTCTGCACCACAGGCCTTATTGAATTATATTGCCCTCGGTAGACATTCATCCCTAGAACTAAACTAACGTCGATCTCAGGACAGTGTAATCCTTACAGCCAGACAAAGGACAATCGTTTAGGTTCAGCTTAATTTCTTAAACTTTATGCAATGTTTGGTTTTGCAATAACAGAAATTCATATTATTTTGAACTAAACGTTTTTAAAATTTGTTTTTGTAATTATACTTCACTTTAAAAGCTAATTAAAATCAATCGAAACTTGATTGGGATTAGCTGAATACCTTTTAAGGTGAATTAGAAATTCATATGTTTTGAGAATAAAACTAATAGCAGCCAATTTACTTTAATATATTTAATAAGAGTCTTTGTAGACATGTGTGTTGCCTTGCTGATCACGCACTGGAAGCAATTTGCTGGAACTTTTAAACGGTTGTTTGAAATAGCGATTTCCTATTTCAAAATGCGTTCTTTCTATATACCCCGTGATCGGATTTGAAAATATGTAATTGCCTCATTTCCTTCCAGTTAAGGATATAATAACAAATGTTCCTTTCAAGGTAGGCTTTAAAAGTTATCTTAAATAATAGTTGATTTACAAACGGCAATGTATTAACTTTACCAGTGTATCGACTAGTTTTTGGTAAATTTTGGGACACTTAAGTGATACGAAAAATACAAATAGGTCACCTTCTTTCTATTGTGGCATGGCCTGTCTATTGTGTCGTATACCTGATAGCAAAACGAGTGAGTACACCTTTATTGCTCATGCCTTGGGAAAACTACACGAATTTCGACTTTGTCTAAAGTACAACTTTTTGAACATCGTATTATCTTTTTATAGTGTATTTTTAACGCGCCCTTGAAATAATTTTATACACACTTCGCTCTTCGCTTCAAAATTATTGTACCAGTAAAAATAAAACCCAATTTCATAGTTGATTTTTTTCAGTTACGATTCAGATAAGATTCAGCGTATACAGGATGCAACAGAAAATAAGGGTGCACCAGCCGAAATAACGATGTCTACTTGAATTGAATTGTAGTCCTATATTTTCTGAACATTTTTTTTCCTTTACTTTGTTACCTTTAGGATAATTCACAAACATGATATTCAACCCCGTGATCTATTTGTACAATTCTGTCTAAAAAAATGGTACAGTTTTGGGAAATTTTGTTACGATATCAAAGAAATATATAAAAAATCAATAAATTGTTGTGTTCGGAAGATATAAACCAAACTATTGTTTTATTTTTTTTTAGAACTTTTTTTTGGAACCACATTTTTCTGATATATACAGGATGCCCCGATATTGCGTGTACATGGAGCTACTACAGTTTCTTGCGATCATAATAAGCGGATTTAACTAAACTTGCCTTTATCCTATCCGCAAATATCTGAGAAAATCGAGACTGTAACCCTACAAATCAGTGAAATGAGAATTTGACTTTTTATAATATGGTGCAAAAAAATATAGGGTGTTCCATTTGAATTTAAAAAGTTTTGTCGGTTTTAAGTTTTCAAAATGTAACGTAAAGAATGGTTCACTTGGTATAATGTTCTTCAGGTGATTTTGATATTGGACGGTGGTGCATCTTATGTTCTTTGTGTATTCCTAAAAGTAAGTGCAAGTTTCCAGAACAAGGAAAATATAAGGAATTTTCGAAACGCTTGCTCTGTCAAAAATAAAATGTCGATTATCTCGAAAAAGGTTAGAGTTAAGTACAAGGAGCTTTAACATTTTTGACTTATTTTTAATTTATTTTGTCAATAATGCAATAATATGTATATAGGGTGCTCTATTTAAAATAAGCAAGTAGATGACAACTTCCGGTATATCCGGAATTGCTACAAGAATGGTATTATGACATTTAAATATAACGCCCCCGAAAACCTCAAGCCCCAAATTTTCACAACTCAAATCGAAGTAGTCTCTGAAATATTCTAATAACGTAAAACAGCCTGTATATCCTGAAAACTAAAATTTCAACGAAAATGACTGTCTCTGCATCTTAACTGAGAAACAGACCTAGAATTGGGGCCCATTTTATCGTTAATTTTGATGGGAAATGTGTAAACAATGACTATGAGGTACCAATTTATAAATATTTATGTATGTGTAACAGAGTATTTATAATTTAAAAATATACATTAAACGTTTTTTTTTATTTTTATAGTTTGCCACTTCCAAAGTACATTCTCTCATCCAAATAGGCTGTGCATGTCCTTCATACTTAGCAGTAGGAACTAATGTAGCTATTTTGGTGCAATTTTTCATCCTCACATACCACCCACACAGAGACAGTTTATGTAAATTAAAAGTTTATATTGTTGTGCAGGGCCGAAAACAACGGAGGTGTGCCCACACTGACAATTCGGAGACGTAGGAGATTCAGGCAGGGGTGAGTATCTTTGGGGGGAAGTTGGCCCTGCACAACATTATAGGTTAGGGTTTGGCAGTTTTTGTGGTGTGTCGGAATCCCGTTGTTTGTTTTTAACGAACTGGTCTTCTAACCCGTTTTTTTGTATGAGGTGTTGGTTTAACAGAGGTTGCCTTGACTAAACAAAACACGGCGCATGACGTCACGTACTGAGGCAAACGTCACAGATATGTGGGATGCGCAGTCACCTGATTTTTAATCAGTTGAAGTTTTTTTAACTTTTAAGGTTTAAAACTTAAATTAAAGTAATTAGGTTGCCGATATATGAAATACAAATAGGCGACCTTTCCGGTGAATAAGGCCGGCTCTGTTTACCGGAATAGTAAATAGTAATTCGGTTAATTACCGATTCCGATGTTTTTTACATTTAATGGTAAGGTACAAACGAAGTCGACCTTGGATTTGCTTTAATTGCGTACCATATTACTCGGTAGCTTATCTAGAAAATATCGTGTACAGTGTGATGCCTATTTAAACGTTTCAATTGATGAACCAAGTTTATGGTGATGATTGTTGATCCCATGGTAAAGTTCATGGGTGGTATAGTATTTCCGAAGTCAGTTGAACGTGTATAAAAACGCCTAGCAATAAAATTTAATGAGTTTCATAGGCGTCCCTAAAAAAATTTTCTGCGAAAGGTAAAAAATTATAATAATTTGTACATAATATGTAGAAAATTTCTATTATATGTATGTTCATTTGATTTTAATTATTTATGTCCTCAAACAATTTTATTACCTATAGTATATCGTTTTGTTCCGTTTCAAAAGGTCTCTCCAAAATGCCATGTTGTAATAATATTAGTAAACAAAATATCCCCCTTATTTCTCCCTTTCGCAATTATTGTAATATGAATGATTAATAGAAGATGCATATAATAAATTAAAATTACCTGAATGACACCAAATTCCGCATTGCTGCACTGCACTGCTAGGCCATTTGTTGACATCTGAATTTATGGTCAAATCACCCAGTGCGGCTATGTTTGTGCCACGTTTGCCCGCGGGCTCATTCTCCAACGTGCGCGAGAGAAGATAGAGCTAATTCGGGCTAATGCTTCGTTCACAGAACTTCGACTGTAGCGCCCTACAATTAATTCAACCAGTCAGCTAGCTATACTCGATTCCTTACCCCTTTTTCTGTTGGGTCTTATTCCCATTTGAAGTTAAAATGGTTTTAACTACATTTATGTGTGGCGGCTACACTTTGTGAAAGTATAGTTGTTAAAAATTTTGAAAAAACCAAGTAACAAAATTGCTAAAATACATATATATTTATTGATAATTTTGTCAATATTCTTTGTATTAACTCGAACTGAATTAAATTCTCTTCTTTTAACAATACGTATTTGTACGACTAATTCCAGTATAATACTTGAATTGTTTTCGCTGTCATATTCCAAATAGTTTTTATAATGCCTTTTTATGTATTTCTACATTTATTTTTCTCATATCGTAAGCTCGATCAGTTAAAATTACTGCAAGCTCTTCCGACGTAGTTGCATTTTAAACTATGTATAACTATATCGATGCTTTTTCTTTCAGCATTATTTAAACATTTTACTGAAGGATATTATAAACACAATTCAGTTGAAATTGTTTATTTACTTAAGGCTTTTTTTCGCGGCTGAATATTGGTGAATATCTGAATTGTAGTTACTATTTCTATCTGAGGCAAAATTTTGACGTTAACATGACATCTTATTTTGAGGCTGGGAAAATAATATAATCTAATAAGTTATCATCAGAGACAACTCTACTTGGACATTATTTTCATAAAGATGTGAAAAGTATAATATTAGTACCATCATAACCTCTTTCCTACCTATGAAATTTAATTTTTTCTCCACTTAAACGTCTCTTTACGCAATTGATCGCTGAACACGATTGCACCATATTTAATTTTCACAAATATTTCACTTACACTAAATAAAAATTTAAGAAATCTTTTATATGATTTTTACTCTTAAGGTTTGTTTATGGTTTCTTGTACCGGTACCATTATTTGTTTTACCGGTATTTGCCTGCACCAGCTTCATCTGCCTTGCACACATCAGCCCGATTGACCTCTCTTTCTAGGGCCAGTCCATAGTTCTAGGATCATATTCGATGCAAAGTAGAGCAAAAAGTTGTCGGTCTTTTATCAAAGGAAAATCGTGTCATCATTTTTAGGAGGCGTAAGATGAACTATTTCAAATTTAAAATGAAATTGAATATAAAATCTGAAATACCGCTGCATACGCACTGTGTTCTGGTAGTAGCTGTAGTCACCCAGGTGCAACGAGTGTACGAAGTGGTCGGTTATACGTCAAATACTAACCTGCTGGCGAGCTTGATCGTAAAACAGAGAGCGCCTCCCAAAAAACAAGTAAACAACAGTGGCGCGCACAGAGGTAAAATGTAGTACATATGTGGAATTTAAAAAACAAATTGGATTTACAATAAATTACATTTAAAATAAATAGTTTATGAGAATAAAGGAATTTTTGTAGGAACAAGGGTGCCATACGTGAACTGATCCATTCGTCACTTCATAATGTATAAAGAAATTATTCAATTTCTAAAACATTTAAAAGCGTACTGCATTGGTTCCCTTGACAGGCAATGATTTATTACTTTGCATCGAATCTGATCCTACTATAGGTCTACTAGGTCTATGGCGGTGGAAGGCGCCAGACGAGCCAAAACCCAAAATATCGTTTGGAGAAGTCAAAAGGGAAGACAATGTTGATTTGGTTTTTCAATTCCAAGGGCATTGTCAGTACCAAAGAGTTTGCTCCACCGGGCCAAACTATTAATGCACAATAATATCCTGACATTTTGAAGCGTTTGGTGCATCGTATTCGGTCAAAATATCACGCAGAATTAAGTTGGACAAAAAACTTTTAAAAAAAAAGTCTTGTGTACTTTGGAACGCACCTTGTATATGTCATTTTGTCTCTTTCAAATATTTTAGCAACACAAGAGTAAAGAAGTACAGCGGATAAATTTTAAAAATTGCTAAAAATACGCGTACATAACATTTGAATTTCAAAAGCTCGTTTGTCATAATTTACCTTCTATATCATAAAGCAGCAAAATTGGAAAATGATTAAATTAAGAACTACGTTTATGCGGGATTTATCTGCCCCGCCCACATCACGAAACGCTGTGCACGAACGCGCTACTGTTTGTTTTTTTTTATCGGTACGTTCGCCGGGGATGGAAACTGATGCATCTCTGGTTGTCTAAATTATACCGAAAAATGGTAGAAAACAGCCCTTTTTTTTATTCCAATATATCTTTTTAAAGCAATGGAAGAAAGTAGTAAAATTTCATATCACATTTGGCAAAGTATAAATGAAGACAGTAAAGCAAAAATTAATTGGGATAGGTAAATAATTCGTGAGAAATTAATTTCTAAATATGAAGGTTTTTTGGACTTTTACAAAGAAACGATTATTTCTTCATAGTATTATAGAATTATGCAATTTTTTATATAGTTGTCTTTAAATAAATAAACTGATTAGACTTTATTTCATAGTTTGTTCATCACTTTATTATTTAAAAAGTTATATTGGAATAAAATTATTAAAAAATATTCATTCATGAATAGCATTATCTCCGACTTTTAATTCGCTTGATTTGTAATAGATGTCGCACTAGTAAAAATTTATTTATGAATGGACTCGGGTTATTTTTAACGAACAGCTGTTGTATGTGGTTAATTTGGTATAACCTGATTCTGAATTGGTAGTCATGGTTTCTGTTAATTGATACGTAAATATTTAAAGAATGTCATGATCATTTTAGATATATTTTTGTATAAAAGTATATAAGTAACAGTGCAAGTCCATACTATTATATAATTTTAGAAAATATGAAATATAAACAATTTTTAGTTTATTTAAAACCATAATTTATAATTAATATACCTATATTAGTATCTACGGTTAGTGGATAAGAGGGAAAACATTTTTATTTTCTATTCTACTAGAAAAAGTAATTCGTGACAAAAAATATTTTGCTTTTTAATTGAATACGTTTGTCATGAAAAACTGTAATAAATATATATACAGGGTGATCAGAAATTTAACAAAATTAATAACGTTGAAGAATAAACTGCTTTTGTTTTTGATAATATAAAAAAAATGTTAATAAGAAAAGTTGTTCATAACGGAAAGTTACGTTATAATTACGATTTGTGAATAAAGCGGCTTACTTTGGTATAAACAGAAATGGAAAATATTATATTTTTAATAATTAATATTAAGTAATTCTTGATAAAAAAAATTTGCATATTAATATAAATAGAATTTTAATTGTGAATATACATAATAATGAGAAAATATAAAAAATATGTACGATATACTTATTTTGTCCAAAAAATGTGTAAAGAATTATGTACAAAAGGACGATTTGAGTCTAAATTTTTTTTATGAGAAATAGGTAATTCAGTTCACTTCAATTGAAAAAATAGTTGTCTTATAGGTACTTTAATACCTCCAATATAAACAGAAATTCTGTGGAACAGTGTAGTTTAATAAATATGTAAATAAATGAAAGTAATAAAGAAATAAATAGAATAGGTACAGTAGAACAGGAAAAAATTTAAAAATTCATAAAATAAAATTATTTCTTTTTATTAATTTGAGTTTCTATAATATATTCTGGATCCATACATCTTTTTCCCTGTGGAATATTTTTGTATATTATTTCTGGTAGTATACAATTTTTATAAAATTGTTCCAAATTTGTTGCCATTGATTTTTTCCATAATTCTTCATATTTCTTAATTTGTTCTACATAGAGTGGGTTGTTTTCACCACTATAGGTATATTACGAAATAACATATAGACTTCTTCCGGTTCCGTATCTGAAAGTAAGAAAAGAATTTTACCAGATAATATTTGTTATAAACATAGATAATTATACATTTTTACCTATTATGCTTTTGATTTACCATAATGATATATCTAGTCA